GCTTGGTAGAGGTAGTGCTCGTGGGGGCGGCGACGGCATCATCACCAGTTACGGTCTGGTAGATGGTTTTGATAACGGTCGAGCGGCCTTTCTTTGTATTAGCGCGCCGTGTGGTCGTGGCATCATCATCGTCGTCGTCCTGTCTGATTTTGAGATTACCTCCATTGTTTGTCGTGGCCTCGTCATTGGAGGCGAAGGGATTCAAGTCCTTGAATTTATCGCCAACGTTGCTCCAGAAGTCGGGATTGCGAGGTGCGATATGCCTGCGGGCGTGGAGGTGGTGGTGGTGAGCCATTGCGGCGGTTGCGGGCGTGGGTTAATGGAAATGGAACAAATCCAACTAGTCCAGCCAGAAGTCGTCGGGATGAGTGAAGATAACGTGAGGTGTGTGAGGCGCGTAATGAATGATTCGTATCGTGAGTTTCGTGGGTCGAGGCGGGGTATCTGAAAAATGGAGGGAGGATGTCTGGCGTGCACGGGAGAGGCTGGTGATGGGAATGCTCAAGGGATTCGGCTCCAGAAGGGAAAAGGTTGTGATGTTCGTGAGGCGATCGTCGAAAGAATGAAGCAGCAAGCAGTGAATAAGTCCAAGTCCGAACAGGGAGTCGCGGTGGCCGAGGATTATTGGCTTGAGAAAGACTGGCTGCCTTGGCGTTGTGGGTTGAAAGTCGAGTGTTGTTGCGCGTACGTTTGCGTGCAATTGAACGAATGTGAAGTGGCTCTGGGCCCGGTGGAAGGAGAGTAAAGTGAGAAGGTGGGTGAGGTGAGGTCGTTGTTTTTTGCAAGATCTCACTACCAGCTCACAGTCATTGGACAGTCACAAACCGTCTTAGTAAATTGTCATGGAAGACGATGATGTTTGTTTGTAGGAGGAAAGAACGGATGAATCTGCACACCGTGACTCTTGGGAAGCTGCGAGAGAGAGAGGACGACGATGAAGTCTCTCTGTCTGTCTCTGAAGGTGAGAGAGTGCAGCGACAGCAGGAAGCAGTCAAGCTCAGCGAGTGAGATGCAGTTCGGACGGAACGGGGGGGGAGGATGGGATGGGATGGAAAGAAGAGGGCGCACACGAAAGTGGGAAGGGACAGTGAGAAGAAGGGAACCGGGGACATTGAGGTTGCACGCACGCGCAGTCTGCAGTTCAGGATGCTGGGCGAATGGGAACTTGGGAAAGAGGCCCCAAGCAACGTTGGACGGATGACAAGGGTCGGGCGACTGGGGTGTGGATGGGAAGCAGATCCCTGCCGCAACAGGTACCTACCCTCAGTCTTTTGCACTCACTCTCAATCTCACTCTCACTCTCACCCTCACCCTCACTTTACAGGTCGGCTAAGGATCACTTGCTGCAAAGGTACGGATACGGATGCAGGTACCAAGACAGCAGGCAGGAAGGAACTGATGGGGGAGCGACTGCAAGAGGACCGTGAGATATCAAGATGAAAAGGGAATGGCGCGTGGAAAAGACGGCCGTGCGATACGGTCAATGTCAGGGCTTGCAGTCTTTGCCGTGTTAGTGCCGTCCGGGGATATCAGTCTGCTGTCTACCTACCTTACTTCGTAAGGGTAAGGTACCTAACTTCCAAAGTACAGTAGTTGGCTGATGTCTCTTGGGTAACGGTGGGTGATGGCTCGGATCACATTTTGCACAAGTCCAACATTGGCACCAATCTATGGAAGGTCGGACGGATTGGGATAAACGCGCACAAAGAATGCAACCGCGGCTCCAACGGTCATTCGACAATGCATCTGATCCACGCCCACACCACCGAGTCAGCGTTTCACCATTCGCCCTGTCTCTGGCCTCTCCCTGCGCTTGGGATGAATTTTACCAGAGGTACATACAATGAGGGAGGAAACAAACAAACATTTAGGAATAGTTACACATCCGCCTTCCTGTCCTACGTAGACGTGCCAGGCATCAATCCACTCTCGTTCAGTTTGATCACTGGATGATAATTCGCTGCCATAAATCACAAGGTTCCTCATCCATCTTGACACGAATATCTACACACAATGGGAGGCAACAAATCCCGCACCCATCCCATCGGTTTCCGACGCAGGTACCGACCTCAATCCGTCGGTCGCATTTTGCGGCTTGCTCATCCACACCGGCGCCCATCTTCATCAGCGCACATGCACGGGCCGCGCTAAGGCAGGGGCCTCCCAACGCCCATCCTGCCGTGCCTGTCAGGTACCGACTCCGCTTGATTGGCTCTCTTGCACTTTTCTCCACCCTTCTCCACCCCACACCCACAGAATAAACGAAATTGTTTGCTCGGGGTTCCTGAGCCGTTCGTCCAATCAAACCCTGCCAGGTGGGACGGAAAAAGAAGGCGTTTGTCCGGCCCGAGCTTCAACCACCAGTGAACCACCACAAGCAGCCCCCAAACTCCAACATCCCCATCGTCATCGCCAACAGGGGACCAACACATTCAATCCGTACCAGTCACACAAACACCACACTGGCACACATACACCACTACTAATGCTGTGATACGCGCCGTCTCCTGCTTTTTTCTCGCCTTCCCGCCCAAACAGCATCCATCCCCTCCCGTTACCTTCGAGAAGCACGCGAAGACTGCCATGTTCATGCGAGCCACACACACAAAGGCAGCTTATCGCCACAAGGGAATTAGCAAGAATGCACCGAAATAGCATTTTTCTAAAGCTGGAAAACAGCCACCATCGACCAGATACTACAGATAGCCTCACAAACGAAAAGACTGGCTGGCTAGAGGCTGGCGTGTGTGATGGCGAAGCTGGCCTGCCCATCGTCATCTCACCATTCGGCCCGGAACCTCGCAAGGGTTGATATAGGCACCGCTGACCTACTTACGGATACAGTAGAATGCCACGGTCATTCCCGTGATCATCACCAAACCACCCACTGGCACTGCCTCTCTTAAAGACCCCTAAAGAAGCAATCTTGTCATTTGAAAGAATGACACGACATGCTCTGTGCTCCTCCCTCGCGAGTCGCAAGGAGCTTTCAGCTTTCTCTGTCACTCAACGACCCTTCTTGATCTTCTCAAGCTACAGAAAGCAGTCAGTGCTCCGCATCCGCCCATCTGCCTCGAATACGAGACTTGTCAGGCCACGTTGCTGCGATGGCCTTTTTTGTCGTCCTGTCTGCCTGACAGAAGTCGGTGTGTTTGAATCCATCAAGCGGTCGAGGCCCCAAGAACTGAGAATTGCACACCGTTCGATTTCGTTGCTTTTTCGGTTGCATTTAGACTTCCCGCCGTGCGCCGGAGGAAAATTCAAACAAGATCTCCTGCGTGGTCTCAGGAGGGAAACAAGCAAAGAAAACACACAACAAATCCTAATCTTGAGGCTAATTTTAAGACATGCATCGAACGGCGCCGTCAAGCCACCAAAAAGCCTAAAGCCACAAGACCGCTTTTACCTGGGCCATCGAGGGTTCGACCAACACACCCGTGACACCGAAATTGGAGAGACCTTTTGAAACAAGCCGGTTCGTCCGCTCGTGCCATTAGGTTTGGTTCGCCTATTTCGTACCCGTCGCGCAGTGAGCACTCGCCATCACCCTCAACTTTGGTTCCCTCCCCCATGATCTGCTCGCCTCCACAGCATGCCACTGCCAAGCGCCTTTCGGTACCTGGCTACCTGGCAGATGCTGGCATTTTTCTCGCATTGTGGCCCATCTCTCCACACTGGAGATGACCTCCGCCCACCAGCCTTATCCATCGACATCCATGACATCCATGCGAGAACACGCGGAAACATGATGGCTAATCAGCGGGCAATCTAACGAAAAGACCCGGATGCGACTGTACGGGGGTCTCAATTACCGCAGCCTCTAGGTGTTCGCAGACAACCAACACGCCGACAACATCAACATTGCGAATGGAGTCGTCTCCGTCAGAACGAAGTTGGGGGCAGAAAACCGCGCAATCCTCTTTCCCGGGAATGAGGAACGTCGCATCCCTGACATTGACTCCCTATGCAGCACAGCAAACCGTCCATGCCTTACACAAAGAGCAGAGTCAGCATGTTATTCAACGTATCATGCAAAAATAACAAGAAAACCTGGCTTCGACGTCGTAGATCGGCACAGCGTCATTTTACTGCCTTTGTACGACATGCTCCCGCAATCGGTCGGATAACCCGAAAGGTAGATTATGGAATGTTTCAATTAATCCCAGTCAGACCTGCCTTCTTCCTTGTCTTGATCTGAGGGAGATCTCCTGCTGCGCATCCAGTTATTCGGACGCGGGAGAAGACAGACAGAGACAGTACCGCGGCGGCGATCCGTACACCGGCCCTATGCAGCTCCGCGACAAACCTGTCTCTCGTCTCGCTTGTCTTCCCGTACGTTCCCCGTAACAGATCAGTGTAGCGTCGGGTATCGTTGATATTCAAAGGCCATTCATCAATGACCAAATTACTACACTCAATCATCATAGCGAGCGAGCCCAGAACAACATAGATCTCACCCGTTCATTTCGAAATGTTCAAGCGGACGCTTCGGAGACAGCCTCTTCCATCAGTCAGAGCTTAGCACACCCAGCCTAACGTCGAAATAGCAACTCTTTTTTCACTTTTGTCTATCCATATCTCCTCTTCGCGTATAGTCGCGTCGCGAGTTCCCGCGGTTCTAATCATTACAAAGCGATACCAATAGCCACCACTGATCGCTCTCCTTTCTAGCTTTCCCTCTTGTAGATTGCGGTTGGGCTCTAGTTGGTAGCCTCCCGGTTCAGTGTGCCAAACATGACAGCTAGAGCAAGCCACGCGATCGACACCTTTGCACGTCCCTTGCTTCAAGACTTCGTCTACGCTCGTAGCTGGCACAGGTCTCCTGTGGCTTCACCGGTCTAGGCGCAGAGTCATAGAGGTCCCAGTCCCACCCCCACGCTGTCCGTCTCCCATCTCGTTTGGTACGTCGAGCTCAATTAAGTGCGTCGAGCTTTGTACCTTCACCTATCCACCACCAGCATCACGACCGGATCTCATCCCCAACCTTGATGAGGGTCGATCTACTGCGGAGGCGGCTGAGCACCCCATTGGTGCGGCGGCTGAGGGGGCTGAGGGGGCTGCTGGCCTTGATATTGTCCTCCCTGCTGTTGCTGCTGGCCTTGTTGCTGCTGCTGCTGCTGCATCTGCCCAAGCAACGCCGCAAAGAAGGCCGGGTTGATATAAGCACCCTGCTGCGCGCCCTGCCCAGGCTGAACCCCTTGCGCCGGCCAACCCGGCGGCGGCGGCGGGACGGCAGGGAAGCCCTGCTGTCCCGGCTGCGGCACGGGCATTCCGGGGAAGGGGAAGTTGAACGTCGGCGCCGTCGGCGCGGGCGCACCCTGCTGCGGCTGCTGGTTGTTGTAGTTCTGTTGAGGCGCCTGGAATCCGGTCGCACCGGCGCCGCCCCATTGTCCGCCCTGTTGCTGCTGATGCTGCTGCTGTTGATATTGATGTTGCTGGTCACCGCCACTCGAGTGGTGCCTCTGAGGCGCCGAGTATCCCTCCCTGTGATCCCCGCGGTTCCCATACCCGCCGCGTCCACGACCACGACCTCCTCCCCTGCCCCTATCACCACGTCCCCTAGAGTCTCCGCGGCCACCTCTACGCCCACCGAAGCGGCCGGGCTCAGGCTCCGTAGTGAAGCTCTGCTGCGCAGGCGGGGCCTGGCCGAACCCAGGCGGTCGCGCGAGGGGCTTGTACGGACCATCGTCCTCGTCGTCGTAGTTGAGTCCGCCATCCGTAGAAGGGGCGGCGCTGACTTCGTTCCGCAGCGGATGCGGCTCGCGGTGGTTCCCTCCCCTGCTCCTCTTCTCACTCGGTCCACCACGTTCACCACCGCCGCCGTCCTTGCCGAACCTCGCCTCCTTCTTCTTCTGCTTGATCTGCCTCTTATGCTCCGCCTCCTTCTCATCATCCGAGAACTCCATCTCGTCCTCGGCAATCTCCTCGTCGTGAATGTTACTCGCGTCCGAGCCCTTCAGGTTCTTCAACGGCTGCGTGAACACGAATTTCGCGTGTGCGGGCGGGTAGTAGACTTTCACGCCGACAGCCAACCCGGCCTCGGCAATCTCCTCGACCGTGGAGAGCATAACGGTATACAGCGGCTGCAGCACTTTCCCAATCGTCTCCCACACCACGCCAAACACTTTCCGGTCCTCGGTGCAAAGCACCGACCCCGTGTCGAGGACCTGATACTCGCCCGGGGTGAAAGCCCTCACTACCATGATGTTCTCGACAATCTGCTCCACGAGCCCGAGCTCCTCAATCTTGTCGTCCGCGGAGAGGGTCACGTCGGGCTTGGCGGGGACCGTCACGTCGGCGACCTCGTTCTTGGTCCGCAGGTGTCCCGAGGCACCGGCCCCTGCGCCGCCGCCGTTCTTGCCGTCGCCTCCGCCTTCGTCGTCTGAGCCGCCTTCCATTTCCATAAGCATGCGCGCCGTCTCCTCTACGCCGAGGAGCTGGTAGCCGCCTGCGTCCGAGTCGTCGTCCGAGTCCGAGTCGGAGTCGCTGGAAGAGTCTGAGGAGGACTCGTAGGGCGAGGAGTCGGCTTCCCACTCGGGGTGGTCACCTTCGCCTTCGGCGGCGGGGTTTTCTTGGTCTTGGGCTGTGATGGAGGAGGTCGGGGCATCGATCATTTGGGGTCTTTCGAGCATTTGGGGGGCGTCAATCATCTCTTGCGCAGCGGGTGCAGGTGCGGTCGTAGGTGCAGACGCAGACGCAGGCGCAGGGGCTTCTTGAGCTCCTGTGGCGGGCGCCTCTTTGGAGACTTCGACTGGTTGGGCTGGGGGAGTGTGATCGAGACCGCTGATCATGGCCTCGAGGGCGTCTGTCAGGGAAGGGTGCTCAGCGGCATCGTCGACGTTCATGGCATCGGGGTCGGTGGCCTCCTGTGGTGCGGCGACGGGCTCTGCTGTTTGCGCAGGCGCAGGGGCGGGCTGCGACTCGGTCGTGTTCTCTCCCATACTGGCGTCCTCATTTTGGTTTTGGATCTGCTCCGAGGTACCGTTGGCGGCGGCGATGATCTCGGGATCGACGCCCTCGAAGCTCGCGGCGGCAGCGAGAACATCGGCAGGCACCGGCGGCAGGGTCTCGTTGGGTTTCGCGAACCCCAGGCCGGGGATCTGGAAGCCTGACATGATGAAATCTGTATTTGCGACCGGTTTTCTCGCTTGTGTGTCGTCAATTGAAATCCAGCCGAGCAGTGTGAAAAAGTTCTCAAAAGACGAGTACAATGAAAAACCACAAAGTCTTGTTTGGAGTAGACTCGGGCGCAAGAGAAATGGAGAGTTGGGGAGGACCCGATAAGAAAATTTTAGTGGGGTCTCTGCTTTACGATAAAAAATAAACTGGGTCTTCTTCGGTGAATTGCCGCAAGTACCTACCTACTGACTTTTCTGACCTGCGGTGAATTCTCCTGCCCCGCCTTCACCGAGCTCACCGCCCACTTCTCACTTACACGCTCACCAATACGTACTTTGTAATATAGTCGGTATGTTAGATCGCACTAATTCTTTCGTCTTCTGGAGTGAACCTTCTTCATGATCACGACACCGTCTTCCGCCAACACAGAATCTGCCACTCGGCCGCCCAAATCCACCACGCAACCATGGCCAGCTTCTTCACTGCTAAAAAGCGAGCTTGCGATGAGTGCCGTCAGAGGAAGGCATGTGCAACAGTGACTAGTGATTTTCACTTGCTTGACCTTACTGACTGCAGCTGTCTCAACTGCAGATTCATTGTGACGCGGCCGTGCCCCAGTGCGACTGGTGCAGCCATCACCAGCTACAGTGCACCTATAACCGCGTCGTGCACCGGAGAAGACGCGCAGCCCCCGCCACACTGTGAGTGCCATTGCGCCCATAATGGGATGCTCGTCCTCGCCCACGAAGCCGGAGGAGGGTGTTCGGTTCATCGAATAGCGATTAAGAGCTGTTGACTCGTCTTCTTAATAGTCGCGCAACAGAAACGACAAGAAGCAGCTCATCCTTGATCCCACCAAGCACCAGCAGAACCAGCAGCAACGATGAGGTCGACACTACCTGCATGACCAGACGTCCATCATGTACCGACACCCACATGACATCGCTCTTAGCCTCGCCTACTGTCACTATCTCGATCACCAGCCTTGAGGGCTCGTCGTCCTCCGTGCCACCGGCATGTGGATTAAGATTTGCCCGATACTATCTGGACGAGATTGCCTCGCCCAGCGGTGCACCTTTCTTCTCTGCCGACCACCAGCACTGGATCCGCCGGTGTACAGGACAAGCTCAAGTCTTCTCCAACCTGTTGGGGCTCGATCCAACGTCGTCATCATCATCATCATCCTCCTCCTGTGTCGGAGGCGACTACTACTCGGCTGATGGCAATCAGATCGAACTGCCGGCCCGACACGTCGTCGAAGACTATCTGCAAATGTTTCGGGCGGCTCCCTTTCGACTCGTGTTCCCCATCGTCGACGGTGTCTTGTTTCAAGAAACCGTCAGTCAGGCTTACGATCCGCACCACGCAGCCAACTCAGCAGCCCAGGCCTGTCTCTTCTCCTTCCTTGCCATCATTACCCATACCCAATGGAGCCCGCGCAACACGGCCGTCGTTATTGACAGCGAGGCATGTGTCTGGCAGGCCCAGCGCCTGATGCCCCTGGCCCAAGCGAGCCAGGATATTACGGGACTCCAAACTTGCCTTATGCAGGTGAGTTGCGGCTTCATCAGGGGAAGGAGAGGCTAGGCTGTGCTGTGCTTACCAATGTACATTTCGGCTTCTAACGCGAACCAGTGCATGTATCACCTCTTCTGCGGCAAGATTCAGATGGCCTCGATGGCCCTTGCTCTTACCTGTCGCCTGTTGTTCCCGTTGGGAGCCCACAGGCAGCCCACCGCAGGGAGCGATGCGCCCGAGCAGCAAAGCCGGACAAGAAGCCACGCGCGCAAGCTGTTCTGGCTCTGCTACACCTTTGACAAGATCGTGGCGCTTCGGACCAGCCAGCCTCCCTGCATCGATGATGAGCACTGCGACCTTGCGCTACCTCCGGGCTACGTAGAAGGGCTATACGTTGACCACAATGATACCATTGGTAGCAGGAGCGGCGCCCTCTGCTGTCTGCCGGGCGATTTGCGGCTGAGCATCATCAAGTCCAAGGCCTGCAGGCTGCTATACTCGGTCCGCCTACAGCAGTACAACCAGCAGCATCACCAGCCAACCCCCAAGGCTGGGCTGCTGCGCGAAGTGCGCGAGCTGGACAGTGAGCTAGAGCGGTGGCGCCTCTCCATCCCGGCCCGGTTCCGGCCCATGCTGCTCAGCCGGAGCTACGGCGGCAACAACAACGGCGCCTGGTGGCTTGACCCGGCTTTGGACGCCAGCCAGAGGATGCATGTTATGGTGCTGCACTTTGAGTACCAGCACCTTGTGGCCGCTCTGCACAGAGCCGCGAGCCCGTGGCTCACCTGGGGAAGCGAAGCAACCGTATCAACGGCGGCGACCTTGCCGTTGGGGTCCAGTCAGAGTCAGACCTTGTCTATCGAGGCCAGCCGGTCTTGTCTAACGTACTTTCGCGATGCTGCTCCTTCCCTGATGGGAGCTGCCTTTTGGTGAGCAAACCCCTCTTTCTACTTTGCTCTCTGCTCCTTCAATCCGATGGCCAGTTGCTGAGCAATGAGTATTCTTCGACAGGGTGCTACTCTTCTACCCCGTATCTGCCGTAGTCACTCTGTTTTTCAATCTGTTGCGGAATCCACTGGACGATCAGTCGGCAGACGACCTCAGACTACTCGAGTCCATCCCGAACTTCGTGAGCGTGGATCGTGCCAGGAGCTCGATCCCACCCCATGTGCTTGACTTGAACACCTTTGATGATTTTGTGGCTGAGGTGATCCGATTGTCCAAGTGTGCTATGACTATGGCCGGCCACGTCAAGTAGAGTGCTTGATGGTTAGACATGTGTGTTTGTCAATAACACTAAACATCCTGAGGAGGTGGGAATGATCCGTATTTGTATGGGTCAACAATGAGTACTGGCTAGGCTGGATCTTAAGAATGAATGACACTAAGGCAGTATATAGTAGACAACAACCGAGAGAGACGAAATGCAAGCCGTCCACAACATCTCCTCACATGGCCCCACCATCAAAATCGGGTACCGCCCCGGGCGCACGGCAGGCAGCCGGACCGGCCGAGTGGATATACTCCACTTTTGGCCAGGCGGCAGACGACTACCGCGATACTAACATCAACGAGGCCGTCGACATCTATTCGTACTCTATGCCAGCGCGGCAGCGCGCCTTTGTAACGAACCGACTGATCCGCTACTTTGGCTGGGACAGGCCCTCGTATAGCGTCGACTCGGCCTGCGCCTCCAGCCCGTCGGCGATGCTGCTGGTCTGCTCGGCCCTCTAACCCGGCCATCAACGCGGGTCCGAGCCGGGGGTCTTTCCCGTCGCCCTCAGGACCCTGCCGCACCTTCCAGGACGCTGCTGACGGCTACTTCCGTAGCGAGGGCCTAGGCATCTTCGGGTGGTCCTGAAGCGCCTATCCGATGCCATCGCCGACCGAGATACCGTACTTGCTGTCGTCAGGGGTGCGTTCCGCAGCTGCTCGTCCGGGCGTCGTCTCTATTACGCATCCCAGCACCGCCATGCAGCAGGACCTGTACCGCGATCTGCTGGCCCAGACTGGCATTGAGGCGGCCCAGCTTGGCTACGTCGAAATTGCATGGCACTGCCAGCAAGCTGACGACGCGACCAATATGTCTAGCGTTGCTGCAGGCTTTGGAAGCGCCCGCTCTCCTGGCTACTCATTTTACGTGGGCCCTGTCAAGGCCAACGTCGGCCACGCGCGAGGCCGTTGCGGACATGGCATCCCTCATCAAGTCCACTATGATACTCAAACACCGCCTGATCCCCGGCCAGACCGTCCCTCCTTCAGGCCGGCCCGAGCTCATCCGCCACTATCCCCCTATCCACGACTTTAGGTATCCACGTGTCAGAACAGAGCCATGTCTGCCGCGCAGCCAGAGTCGGTGATGGACGCAAGATAAAGATCAACAACTCTGATATTGCGGTAAGTTCTCTTCCCTGCTCTATTTCAAAGTACTCAGCTGACACGGAAGTGCTCAAGAGCGGCAACGTGAGCTTGTTGCTGGAGGAGGGCAGCAACTTGCAGCAGCAATACAAACACGGGGATGACGGCCGCAAGTATCGCGTCGCAGCAGTCTCGGCACACACCCCCCCAAGTCCTTTGCCATAAACCGGCAGAGGTGCCGGAGCATCTTCGAGCTCACCCGCAAACCTTGCTGGTCAACGTGGTTTATACAGCCACGGCCCACCGCATACACCATGCTTACCGGACTGCCTATCTGTCTGTCGGATTCCATCGACAATCTTGTACTTTAGCTGGCAGTAAACGACAACAACAACATCCCACTAGTCGCACGCAGTGGTGCTGGGGCTGATGAAGATAGTACCGTCGTCTTTATCTTCCCAGGCCAGGATATGAGGCGGTACCCAATACTGCTAACTTTCCCGTCAGAGGCCGATGGTGGGCGGGGTTCCTTTCCGGTTGCTACTAAACGGACCGCTTAGGTATGTGACGAACAATTTACTATGTGCGCGTACTTCTTGATAAGCATCGGGGTCATGAGAGCCATCAGGGATGTCCTCTTCCCGTTGTTGTACTTGCGTATGCAGGTTTGACGTGCCCAGCAGGGCTATGCACCGTCCGAAAGAGGAAATTTGCCGCTTAGTCATTGGTGCTAGCTTGGTTTTCCCTGCCCGTTGGTTGCTAGCTCAATCGTTTACATGGATAGTTGGAAACCATCGTCTATCAAGGACGACGAAAAGCTACAGTTCACAGTTTCTAGCCTACTACTACTACTACTATGGACAGGCAGAGATGGGTACTTATCAGGATCCTAACACTACGGGGTTGTCCAAACACCCTTTAAAGGCGGGCATCATTTACTTTTGTTACCAGCGAGTTGTCTTCATGTTTTGTACACATCTTCATCTATAAAGACCTGGAGGACCCCTTACTTCACCATCTCCTCTCACCTTATTCTTTACACTCTTTCCAGCCAGCCCGACGCGAGAAATACAGAGACTAGATATGGATACCAGCGACTGCACTTTGAACACTTGCCCGGTCAGCTTGTCTAGGATTGGGTTCCTGCCAAACCTGGGCGGCAACGCCTTCATGGTGACCTGGTTCGGAATTATCCTGGTAGCACAGGTAGTCCTCGCGATCCGGTATAAGACCTGGAGCTACCTGGTTGGCCAGGCGTGCGGGCTGGTGCTCGAAGTGGTTGGCTATGTACAACGTATCAGGCTCCGCGATGACCCGTTCGACAACCAGACATTCATCGTGTAAGTGAATGCGGCCATCCCTTCCCGCCCATTTCCTTCTTTCGACTACACGGAGAGAGCTGACGTCTTCTCTTATTGCTCTTTTACAGATACATCGTGACCGTAACCATCGCTCCGGCCTTCCTATGCTACACCATCTACCTGTGTTTCGGGCGCATTGTACTCATCTACGGCCCCCACGTGTCGCTCATGCCCCACCGAACCTACACCATCATCTTCGTTACACTTGACATCATCTGTCTTATTCTTCAGGCTGGCGGCGCGGCATGGTCGCAGACCGATGGACTCAATCCCCAGGATCTCGACCGGGCTCTCAACTTGCTGCGGGCCGGTCTGGGACTGCAGTGCGCCAGTTTGGGTCTTTTCGTTCTGCTGTCGCTGGATATGGGAATCCGGGTGCTACGGAACCGGAGCACATGGGACACGCGGTATGCTCATGTCCGTCAACATAGAGCATTCACTTACTTCCTCATGGGTGAGTTTAAGTGTCTTCATTCTTGGCCCGTTCCTGTTGTGCTGATACTCTTCAAGTTTCCTTTGCGGCCGCCGTACTGATCCTTGCCCGGTCTGCCTTTCGCGTCGAGGAGCTGCGCAACGGCTTCAACGCTGCGGGTGACAATGCAGAGGTGCTCTTCATGGTGCTTGAGGGCGCCATGATCGGCCTGACTGTGCTACTCCAGACCATCTTCCACCCAGGCTACATTCTTGATGGCGAGTGGCGCGCCACCAGCTTCTTCACCAAGCAGCCTGGCGCCCAGCACAGCCAAAGACATGCGGCCGAGGGAGAGTCTGGCTCTTCTTTGCAGACTGCGCAGAAAAGTGGACAGGAGTAAATTCAGGTCCGTAGGGTGGACAACGCCCGCGAGGGAAAGTGCCTCCCTTTGACACGTTTAGCACCCAGACTGGAGTAGGGAATCGTCTGCCATTGCTACAATGGATTCGGCATCCATATGATGAACTGAGGTTTCTCCGCGTTTTTCCGCACAGTGGGCGCACGCTATCTGGGTACCTGACAGTGGTTGTGATTTTGAGTCTGTTGCGCGCTATTTGCTGTTTGCTTCCAAATGTTCCTCTACCTGGCGGGGACTAGAAACAGCAAAATGGTAAATGCTATCAAAAAAAAGGGGTTGGGGGGAGGGGGGAGGGAGATGATGAAGAAAAACACATGAACACAAAACAACGTCCATTCCTCGCCTCTCTATCCTGTCTCTAGGTGCCTGTCTGCGTGCCAGCCGTGTCAATGAGTGTACTTTCAGATTAGCTAGATCGCGAACACTCCACGACAGCCTCTTTAATATACTGGCTCGTTTCCACAGCCCGCGGCCTATCCATCATGGAAATGTGGTCAGTATCCGCCATCAAGGTCCGAAGCCCCTGACCAACCAACTTCTGCCCTCCGTTGGACACAAATGTCGTTCTCTTGGCGTAGAACCAGGCCATCACCCCCGACCCCGCATACTCCATATTGTTGATATGTTGTTGCCAAAGAATCAGCGCCTGGTCACCTCGTCCATGGCCGATGTCTTCTGGTTTGCCGTCGGTTGTTGCTGCAGCGAGCCAGCCGCGACTTCGCAGAGGCCCAGCTTAGCTCAGATTATGTAGGCCTTGCCAGGGCGCCTGGCTGGGTCCATGGGCTGCGGTTGGTAGATGACCAGGGCGGAGCACACGCTCAGGGAGGTGCAGCTTGAGGCGGAGGGGTATGGGCGCCATCGGAGCCTCGGCGCTAGTGCTATCATCATTTTCATTGCTACTGCTGCGATTTGATACCCGTCGGCATGCCTCTGACCTCGAGGAGCGCCATGAAGGGCCTGGACAGGTGTGGCAGAGGCTCAGGCACGCGTATGTCTATCATGATAAGGCTCTCGACGTCCTCGCCCGCCCGACTTGAGCAGCCGGCGGACCAGCCCGTCCAGCAGATATGGGCCTTGGGGTCGGATACGGTGCAGAGAAGCCAGGCACAGTTCGCTCACCTGTTCGATGTTGAAGGTGAAGGCCTCGGAACCATGCAGGAAGGACGACACGAGGGCGTAGATGACCGTAAAAAATCGTCCATCGGGTGTTTTGCAACATTTCGTCGGAGCTCTCGTATGGACAGAAATGGAAGTCACATGTGACTTATAGTGGTTTATACATCTTGGTGCCACTCAATTTGTTGCCAAGCTCCCCGGCTCCCCAGCTCTCCTCGATCCCGGTCTTGCTCGTATAACACTAACGCGAAGCGGGATAGCTTCGCTGATGTGGATATCCCCACGTGTGGCATCGCCGGCTTGTCTCGACTACACATTCACCAGCTTGATATCCTGGAAGTAGTTTTGGATCTGGAGATCGTACGACTTAGATGTCACGTTCTATGGAAATCTTTCGGTGCAAGCGATGATTCTCAGACCTACAACGTGGGCGTGGTGGTCGCTGGCCACCAATCATAGGGCGTAAGCAAGGGATTCCAATCATCAAAGTGGTTTACATCGCCGCAAGAGGAAATGAAACTGCTACAGACATCTCGTATCCGAGATCCATGAGACCCAATCGTGGCTATGATGGAAACACCCCTCTACAACATCAATGTGTTCTTGATTAGAGTAATCTTCCCCGACTAGCTCGCCCGGTGGGAGTATGGGGGAGGAATGGCTGCTGCCTAAGATTGACTACCTACGTCGAGGTTCTCCATCGGGAAACATCAAGACAAGCTTAATTATTATATGGGCGTGTTTGAGACATCGCATTCTTGTAGAGTCCAGCTGCAGGTTATTCTTAGACCCTGTGAAGTGACCCGCAGGTCGAGCACAGCCTACTTCTAATCTCCTTTTCTATGCAGGCCCGGATGCTGCTCAGAAACCCCTCACTCTCCAATTAGTGTAAGTGGCAGCAATGATTGACTTGGCTTCGGACTTGGTGATGCCAGATGCAAGATGACGACAGCAAAGGTGACGGGGACAAGCTTAGGGAGGTTCGGCGAAGACAGGTTTTGTCTCGGAAGGGGTGTTTGTCATATCACTCACTAGTGTGACATCCATACTCCCTGCTAAGAAATCCCCCAGCAATGGTTCAACCTTTTTGAGAATTCGTATATATATATCAATCGGAGGCCCGTCCGATGCTCGTGTGTAGAAACAGTATCCAGACCAACCGAGAAGTGACTGGAGATTTCGCTCCTCCGCTCTTTTCACTCGTTGCACCAACACATTCGTTCATCTCCTCCTTCAGTTATAATGACATCTTGGAAACTGGCGGCGGCGTTTGCCCTCGTGGGGATCCGAGCCGTCGGAGCTCAAGACTGTACATTCGACTCGATCACGCCCTCCCAAGACCTCGTCTGGTGCCCCTGTGAAGGCCAATTCTTCTGCGCCAAGCTCGATGTAAGTCACATCTTGAACCACCGTCCCCTTCCGACTGACAAAATTACCCAGGTACCTCTCGACTACAAGAATCCAAGCCTCGGAAGAGCTTACGTTCCCTTGCTCAAGATCCCCGCCGCCGCCGAGTCCCCAGACGGCCCCTACCGAGGCGCAATCCTCATCAACCCAGGCGGACCAGGAGCATCCGGCATCGAGCTGGCGCGCTATAATGGCACCACGGTTCAAGCCGCAGCTGGTTCCAACTTTGACATCATAGGCTTCGATCCCCGTGGCGTCGGGCTCAGCGAGCCGCGGCCTAACTGCTCTGCAGGGATTGCGATTGGCAAGAATGGCACACTTTCCGGACGAGATGCCCCGCGGGTGGTTGATGGGTACTACCAGCAGTTCATCGATTTCGGCAAGGAGCTGGGTGAAAAGTGTCAAGCTCAGACTGGTGCTGATACCGAAGCTGGCCCGCATATGACGACTGCTGTTACCGCTCGCGATATGCTTAGCATTGTCGAGGCCTTTTCTGCTTCTCCTGATGGCAACCGTACGGTGCTGGACTCAAGTAAGCTGAACTACTATGGCGTGAGCTATGGCACCATGCTCGGTCAGACGTTCGCGTCGATGTTCCCTGATAGAGTTGGCCATGTGGCTATCGATGGGCTAGTGGATCCGATCAGCTACCAGACGAACTTCACTTCGAGCTCCATCAACCACGTTGACGGCGTTTTGGGAGCGTTCTTCGTATACTGTCACGCCGCAGGCCCGGATCTCTGCTCTCTCTACACGGGGAACACTCCGAAGGACATCTTTAGCCGATGGAATGCTTCGTTTACACAGCTTGATGCTCAGAAGGCCGAGGCCGAGGGCTGGGCGAACGCTACTGACATTGGTTTGGCACTTGTGACCTTCAAAGTCAGCGTCCTTGCTGCGGTGGTGCAACCGCTGGCAGAGTTCAGCAGGATATCGGACGTCTTTGTGGCATTAGAGAAGGCCATCTCTTCCGGCACAATCGCTGCGTGGACGGAGCAGACGAACGCGATTTACGGTGATCCCAACATGGGGGGATACGTGAACCCTGAACTGACTCTCGGCATCTTGTGTTCTGATCAGAGCAATGTTTGGTATGGTAAGTCACTCGCGGATATCAAGCCTCTCTTGGACGGCTTGAAGGATACCAGTATTGTGGGAGAAGTCTGGGCTAGAACCATGCTCGCATGTCTCGATTGGCCCATCAGATCCAACGATGTTTTCAAGGGTCCGTATGGAGGTAACACCTCGTACCCGATGCTCTTTGTCAGTAACACGTACGATCCTACGACGCCCATTGAGAAGTAAGTTGATCTCGCCTACGGTTACAAACCTTACTGACGAGAGCTTTCAGCGCCGTCTCGAACGCGCCCAAGTATGCCAACGCTAGAAGAATCGTCACTGATGGCATGGGCGTAAGTTCAATCTCAACGTCTCACTTGAAGGTGCAATGCGCTAACGTTTTGTAGCACACCACCGTCGCCACGAACAACATGTGTGCGTTTGCCGCCATTCGATCTTACTTCCAAGACACCATGTGTGGCAAGGAGCACTACTGCCCCTTGGAACTGGGCCCATTCAACGTTCAGCTGAACGGAACGATCGAGGAGAACCTTGAAGCTGCTGGACTGTCTAATCTGCACAGTCTTTACTGATGCGCCTGTATACTTGTATCATCTATCCAGGTTCTGTTTCTTGGGTAAATTGAACATGACTTCGTGTCCGTATAACGATGAGCGAACTTGTCTTCACCCGAGTTCCATCGGCTTCACTACAGTTATTCGTACAGATAGTAAATAACATGTAAAATTCCCCGATAGAGGCTGACTTCAGAAAAACACCACACACTGGACCCCGCTTCCTCGACCGTTTGAGTGAACAGGGCCGTTGCCTCACAAGCGACCGGTTACATCTTCTTAAAATGCTGTGTTTTGTGGAAGTTCGGTGTTACCCCTTCAGTTTCTCTGAAACTTATGAAATACTTTAGCCTCAGCGTTGACTGAGAATCGTATCGTAGTTGATCAATGTGGTTGCGAGAGGGTTGCTTTATTGGTAATGGATTAGGGGTTCGTGGGGCTAGGACAGTGAATCTGTCCGTGTAAGTCCAATAAAGATGGCAGAGGTATTCTGTATAGATCGTGTGCTTATACTATCAAACTAAATTCCATGAGGAGTGATGCAATGCAAATGTACAAACTCCGCAGTCTCACCGAAAAGCGAGACTATGCTAGCAGCCAAAGTAGAAGTCTATCGAGCTAGCTCATCCACAACTTTCTGTGCTAAAGGGTGTCTCTGCCTCATGTGCCTCTTCAAGTTGTCCAGACGCCCACCTCGAATACTAGCTTCACAGATATGGCAAACGAGTTTCGCCTTCTGGTGTGCAGATCTGTCGTGCCTGAGAAGGTCTCTCGCAGTACTGAAGCGTTGTGAACATCGAGGGACTTCACAGGCATGCTCCTTGATATGGCATCGTAGGTGCTCTCTAGGTCAGGTCAGTTCTCATGCGAGAATCAAGAATACTGGTAGCGTACGAACCTTAGTCGTTTCGCATCGCCAGGGAAGATTGGGCAGTATGGGCACTTCCCATGAGGCAATGGCTGATCTGAGTCGTAGCCAGCTCTACGCCTCTTTCTGCTGGGAATCGGAGGTGATGGGGTTCGAGAAGTAGATACACTCGTTCAGCTTCCTTCTCCGTCGTCGTATTCGCTCAAGGGGGGTCCTGTGATACCCGCGGCACCGTAGTGACCAGATCTTGGGCTCATATTACCGAAACCCTCGGTGACAAAGAAGTCGGAGGCGTGGAGAGCCTGATCGTGGTGAGACGAGCGACTGCCGAGAGTATCTTCACTGAAGAGGTTGAGGTCATCGCCGTTGGCTTCTGGACGCTGCGGTAACAATGTGGCACTACCGTTGAGCGGTAAAGCGAAAGAATATGCCTGACGATCAATGGAGGCTGGATCTTGGAACTCAGGATTGGCTATGAGAGAACCGTTGAAGGAGTCTGGCATGCCGAAGAACCCAGAGTCCGGGATACGACAGTGTGGATTGCCAACCCCTGACGGGTGAGCAATCAACCATGTGCTTCCGTCGTTGAACGATCTGCTCGAGGCATTGCTGCTGATGGTACGGCAGAAATCGTCGATTGAATCATGCTGCAGGCTTAGCCAACCTAAGTCATCTTGGTGTGAGTATTGAGCTGAGGTGTGTATGATTTCGTTGTATTCAGCTTCATCGTAGACTGGACCGTCCAGGAACGTAAGGCTTGTGTCGTAGGCTGACTGTGCCGAGGTTGAAGCTAGGGGCCTATCATGCCAAGATCTCCGAGGTCAGCGTGTGCCAAGAGGGAACAAGCGCAGTTCGAGAGATCTTACTGGTCCTGCCACCGCAGCGAACCCGGTGGGCATTTGTTGTCTTCATGTCTTGGTCTGAGTCTGTGATTGAAGTTTGTCAATATCTGGTCCATATTGATAGTAGGCGCTATGCTTTAGCTGGTACACACCAAAACTTACTTGTTACAAGAGCAGAGGGCACCCTTGCGTTATGAAGAGATTCTATGTTGGAGAGATAGCATGTTGGTCCATGACACAGGGTGCTACGAAATGAAGTGAACCTGTCTGGAAACGAGATCATAGTTATATAAACTCATGCCAAATTGATACTTTCAACAGTCTGAGGCCGCAATTTTTTCCAACCCCCAGTGGCTTCGAACATGTCGACAGAATCCGCAGTTTGAGGCCACGTACGCAACGTGGCAAGGCATCGAGACTCTGCGTTGGCCTTATTCCTGTCTGCCTTGGAGTCTTTTTGAAATTGTCGAATCACGAGGCCGGCAACGAGGAGAAAATGCGCCCAAGCTGCATAGCTTGTTTTAAACCTGCACTGCAATAAGCAGCCTCTTGAGGCCACATAATTGACACTGACCTGATGACCTGTCTGCCTTATGCAGGTCCAGCTCAGCAAGCCACCTCTCCAGGGCTGTCTGTCACCAATTCTCCAAAACTGCAACGCCTGCGAGTAGAACGCTCTCGAACGTAAGTTGACAACCTGGTGCAGCCGCTCCAACGGAGCTTTCGTGTTGTGATCAGCCCGCCAAGGCAGCCTACCTGAGGCGGCCCATGTGGCCTCCTCAATGACCTCAGCTGAGCCTCAATCAGGGGCAATCAGACGCTGTTGTCTGATGAATTTCCAAGTTTCTCCGTCATGCTCATTCGAGTCAGCATCAGCCGCGACGGATCGTGCTCAATGCTGGACTGCTACTGGTCAATCACAAATGAGCCCAACGGTGCAACCCCGCGCAATGTTTTGCAACCTTATGTTTCAATTCCTATCTGCTTATACAAGCCTCGTGATATGAATTGTAGTTCTTCTTACAATGTGACGTGCGGGCGGACTCAAACCGCCAAAGTAGTGTTTTCCCTTTCCCGGAAACAAAAAAAAAGCACTCCAAATTCTTTTCCCATGGGGTATCTTTTGGTACCGTCAACGCCAGATAATCGGACAAAATTTCCCTTCCTTTCCATATCCACTTGATTTGCAGAGCCTTGTTCGTTTGCTGTGCTAAGGAAGCGTCGGCAGTAGTAGGGGCCGCCGCGCGGTGAAGAGCGAATTCAAAGGCGAAGGTAATGATGAGAAGTAGCAAGCAAGCTTAGTAGTAACCGCGGCCCTTGGCACGGCCGTGGTGGTTACGACGACCGCCCCAACCACCGCCGCCGCCGCCGTCGTGACGCTTGTCGCGGTGGTTGTGGTTGTTATTGTTGTTACCGCCGCCGCGCTGCTCAGGCTCAATGGGAACCTCAACCTCGACCTCGTACTCCTCATACTCGTCGCGGTAATAAGCCTCGACCTCCTTTCGCTCCTGGCGGGCGCGGTCCGGGTCGAAGACGAAGCGCATGGTTCCATCCTGGTTGCGCCCGTTGCGCTTAGCAGAGTTGCTACCAAAGAAGGAAATGTTCTTGAGGACGGAGACGCCGTTGGAGAGGTTCTCGTCCTCGCCGCCGTCGCAGTTGGTGCACCAGTGGGCGTAGCGCACGAGACCGGGGGTGTTGTCGACCTCGCTGTTGATGACGATCTTGACCTCGATGAACTTGTTGAGGTCGAACTGGACACCGAGCTTGGTGGACTTGCCGTGCTGGGTGTAGAGGTCGAGGAGGTCGAGGACCGTCTCGACGACGTTTTGGCGCGTCGTGTGGAAGTCTGCGTAGTTGATCTTCTCTACCTTGTCGACACCTTGGCCGAGAAGGCGGGCGCTGAGCTCGAGAAGGCCAAGGGCCAGGGCGTAGGTAGTCTGCTTGACGGGGGCAAAGGTCTTGTACAAGTCGACGCTCATCTCCATGGCGGTGGCAAAGACATTCTTGGACTGGGGGCCCAGGATCTTCTTGGTTGCTTTCAGCAGAGCGGACTGAGGGTAGCGGCAGCGGAAGTCGAAGCCGACGGTCTCGAGGACCAGGCGCTCCAGGCCGATGATGATTTTGGAGGGCTGTTCGAACATCTGCGATTGGGTTAGTCACAGCTAAATTGTAGGCTACAAGTCATCACACACCTTGTCGTCCTGGGTTGTGGGGTGCTCGGGATTCTTAATGTTGTACGCAGCACACAGGATCTCCTTGGACTTCTTGATGGTGTCCTCGACCTTGCAGGCCAGGAAGAGACAAGCCATGGCGGCATCTGAATAGTTGTACTCGGCGTCGCGGAACGAGAGTCTGAACCAGTGAAAGTAGACACACGCAGTGTCAAAAGTCTTGATAGGGCTGCGAGAAAAAAAGTCAGCATCATCACTTCAGTAAGCTCCTGCCACAGGAACCAGAACAATGGTCCAACATACACGCGCAGCATGGTGCGGACGTTATCGATGAGCTGCACTCCCTGAAGACGGTAGCTATCCTCCCTAGCTGGATCGCTCTTGTTGTCTCGCAGCATGCGTCTCAATCTCTGCTCGCTCGTGAACTGGCAAGAGACCTGCATGTGGCCAGGGTGAGGACCCTTGGCCGCCGCGGGCTCGGGGGCCGGTGCTGAGTTGTTCGTGGCAGCAGCACTCTGCGCAACGCTCTGCGCCTTGGGGCCGGAGGGAGCCATTGTGTAGTCGCCGTCGCAATCTTTGCCAGCAGTGTCTGAATCGCCCTGCAAGGTCTGCTCGTTCTCGTCCGCGAAAGCGTCGCCACAATCAAAATCGCAGTCGAGGTAGCGGTCGTTGTCGCCAACGGTGCCAGAGTCGTGAGAGTCACCGTCGTCGTCTGGGTCGATGGCTAGGTACGAAGAACGCTTGATGGGAAGCTGAATCCAGCTGTAGTCATCGAACCAGACCTTGTCTCCCTCGAGGGGCAGGTCGAGAGTGGTGTCGTCTTTGTGGAGGTTATTGATCTGTTCCAATGTCGCCTCCGAGATTTCGCGTCCGAGGGTCTCCAAAACTGCCTTGTAGATGTCCGGCAGAGTCGCGGTGGGGTGGGTGAACGGTGCTGGACCTGCGTCCACCGCGGCGTCCCAGTTAACCTTTCTCTTGCGCACGGACCGTGTCACCCAGTTGGGGTGCTCCACGACTCGGAGCCGGAAGCGGGGCGGCTCGACGGATCGGTCTTGTCGATGCAAGACGCGGATCAACTTGGGATGGCCTTCAACCGTGAAGTCGAATTGCTTGATCTCTGAAGTTCCAGGAATTGAAGAGTTGGCGGGAACATAGTATCCGTTTAGAGTGGTCATGCCAGCTGGGATAATTCCGGGAGACTTCATCTGTATTCACTCATTGTGTCAGTTCATCATGCGTTTTTATGTAAGTTAGTACCTAGTAAGAGCGCTTCCGACAGGGGATGGAAATCCAAAATTCTTCCCATGGGTGAACATCTCGAAAAATAAAATAAAAAATTGACAGATATTTGTCCAGTGTCCTCGAGCGAATAGAGAAAACCGCGGGCAGTCTTGGAAATGGTAGGAAAACAACTTGCCATGATGTTCAGAGAGAGGAGAGTAAAAGAGAGTGTAGGTGAGCTTGTAGTCAGCTGGTAAATGTGAATCTGCTCGACGAAGAAGCTGAGCTAGAAGAATAGGTCGAGATATCAATGCCAAGTAAGTTCACTCGATAGAGAACGGCTGGAGTCGTAGATCCCAAGAGCGATTGTAGAGGTTTCGAAAAGAGAGTATTGAAACCTTGAGTTGGAGCAATTATAGCTTCGTAGAGAGATTCTCAGTAATGCTGCGATTGTCGATATCAAAATAAATACCCTCAAGAGGCGACGGCCGAAAGAGCACGGCGAAACTGTGGTCACTCAACGATGAAGGTATCGTCGACTGGTTGAGTATGGGAGCAAAGAGTCAAGAGAGAAAGTGGTAGGTATCTCGGCATCTATTTCTTTTCCAAGGGCAGGTTCGAAAGACCGCCTTCAAAGGTAGGTACAATAATATTCTTTCCTTCCGCCAGACGGGTTTCCGTTTCCACTAAACGAACTCGAAGAATCGAAGCCTTTTTTCCAGCCGCGTGGGGAGTTGAGGTGCGGCTGGTGAAGCCCTGAACCCGGACCGTGTTGACATCGAGACCCAGAGGTCCCGTCTCCTGAACGTTCCTCCACGCAGATTGAGCATGTAGACTAGTGATAGGGGTATCTGAGAGGGGTGTTAGCCATGTGCCATGCCTCATGTCTTTGGACAACAAAGGGTTGAAAAGAAGGACCAGAGCTCTGCTTGTTGTCATTGTATACAACCAATACCGTATTGAAGCATCGTTGGCGGTATACAAGACGTAAAGAAGAGATGCAATGGGCGTAAGTTGATGTTGTCGGATAAAGACAAACCTTTTTGATATCACTGGTCTACTCGTAGCACCGAGTAACATACTGACGTATCCATGTCCATCTCTCGGCGTTATGTTCGAGAAATGTTGATAGAGCCGCCCTTATCTTCCCTCGGTGTTATCCCACAAAGCCGCCTTACTCGTCACAAGTGTCCGCCTGAGGAACACGTCGGTCGATAGCAGGAACCACCGGTGCAACGGTGTTGGGATCCAGCGTCGGGACCTCGAAGGTCTTGAACGGCGCCGCCAGAACGGCAACCGGGAAGAGGACGTAGAGAATCTTGGAGAACTGCATTTTGATCGGTTGGACGGACGGTAATATGGAAACGTCTGATGAGCGAGACGAAAAGAGTGAAATGCAGAGCAAAGGCGTATATTTAGTTTTGAAAGATGGAAATAGAAAGATGCAGTTGTTCAGATCAGATAAACTCGACGACTCTGCAGATGGATATTCAGTTAATGAGCATACTCCTTCGTTCCCGTGTTTCAAGTGTCGTTCGAGAAGGGACCGTCGTCCATACTTATGGAACCCACGAACACTGCCCACCCACGTAACCCGCCAGCAGAGACGGTTCACCCGAACACATGTCGTCCGAGCCAAGGCCGCAAGAAGATCGGCCGATCAACGTCGTCCAGCCACAAGGCTACTTCATGCACCCTTCGGTCTTCAGCGTCGTCAGCCTCTGCCCCTCGTGTCCCTGCACGAGGGTGCATAGTGGTGGTGGCGGTCAGTGGTCACCAGTAAGAGAGCTTGAGAGGCTAGGTTGCGTGAAACAGGGGACCATTTCTTGGTTGCATCTGTGGTCTCGCACCGAGAGCGTTTCAGAGGGTAGAGGGCAGGGAATCCCGCCGACCTGGGATCTACCCGCCACTGAGCCGTTGATACTCATACGGCTGGGGAGGGATGGCCACTTGAGTCAACCGACGTAACGAACGTCTATGCTGCGTTCTACCGCCATCCGGGAGCGACTAGCTCCCAGGAACGAGGACCGACACTTGACAAGGCCCCGACGGACTTGGCTGGAGCTGTTGCTGCTTCTAGTCTGTCTGCTGTGAACTTGGCAGAGGAGGGACGCCGGACTTCCAAGACTTTTGACCGACGTTGACAGGGGAGGCTAGGTCTACCGTCTGGCTAGGTATTCGAACCTGGGTGTCTCGGTGTAAGAGAGCACCGGGCCAAAGAGAAGGCTCGAGAGTTGTCGAGGTTGAAGCTCCTGAGACGCTAACCCCTTGAGGCCTGGGAGACTCATGATTTGAATGGCACGGACCGCTGGAAAGGTGCTGACCTAAGCACTCGCTGAGGTACGTTTAGTGAAGATAAGTGGACGGGCTCTCGGAACATCCCCCAGGCCATATGTTTTGTCCGTGACCAATGGGAAGCTCAATCGATAAGTCAGCACTGCATGGCGATAGGTAGGCGGCAACGGCCAAGCTCCTGCTCTCAGCCAACCGTGCAGCTGCAGTCCATGGGCGAAGGTTGGTTGGTGTCGTCAGCTTTCCCTTGCCACACTCCCCTCCATCCCTTTGACATCTAAAGAAAGACCAACAAAAGTCTCCGGGACACAGGTCGCTCTCCAACCTCACAACCATAGTCCAGCTTTGATAGTGTTAGACGAATAACCAGAGAATACGAGAATACGCAATGAAGTCCCTCTCCATCCCCACGCTGCTCACAGTCGGCTCCCTAGCCACCGCAGCCTACACGGCCGCGACCCCCAAACACCACACAAGCTCCTCCGACGACACCGACGACCACCCGATCCCCCTCATCGTCTGGCACGGCCTCGGCGACTCGTACGATGGCGATGGCATCAAGCGCCTAGGCGAAGTCGCCGAGGAGCTCAACCCGGGCACCTTTGTCTACACCATCAAAGTCGGCGCGGACCCCAACGCCGACCGCTCCGCCACTTTCTTCGGCAACGTCACAACCCAGCTCGAAGAAGTCTGCGCTGAGCTCGCCGCCCACCCGATCCTCTCCACGGCGCCCGCCGTCGACGCCATCGGCTTCAGCCAGGGCGGGCAGTTCCTCCGCGGCTACGTCGAGCGCTGCAACAACCCGCCCGTGAGGTCCCTCGTCACCTACGGCAGCCAGCACAACGGCATCGTCGAGTTCCGCGCCTGCGGCGACGGCGACTTCCTGTGCAAGGGTGCCATGGCCTTACTGCGCTTCAACACCTGGTCCGGCTTCGTGCAGAACCGGCTGGTGCCCGCCCAGTACTACCGCGACCCGCAGCCGGAGCAATACGCAAAGTATATCGAGTCATCCAACTTCCTGGCCGACATCAACAACGAGCGCGAGCTCAAGAACGTGCGGTACGGCAAGAACCTCGCCAGCCTGGCCAACTTTGTCATGGTCATGTTTGAGGACGACACGACCGTCATCCCCAAGGAGACGGCGTGGTTCGAGGAGGTCAACGGCACCGAGAGCCTGCCGCTGCGGGCCCGGGCGATTTACAAGGAGGACTGGATCGGCTTGAGGGAGCTGGACCGCAAGGGCGGGCTTCGCTTCCGCCAGATCCCTGGCGAGCATATGCAGATTTCAGATAAGACGCTCAACAAGACCATCCAGGAGTTCTTTGGGCCCTTTAAGAAGACTTTTGAGGCTGAGAAGACCGTCGAGGAGGTCCCTGTCTTTGAGGAGTTGTAATGCGATTGGAACAGAATGCTGGATAGTAACTTGATGAAGCGACACTAGGGAAAAGTGCAAAAGGGAAAATTGTACACTAGTTCTTATTGGTAAATTTCTAAGCACGAGTTCTCATGGTTAATTTTTGTCTGAACCAACGCCGTACGCCACAAACCATGCATGGTATAATCCCGCACGTAAAACCCTCCTCCTTTTTTTTCTTCTTCGGTACCATCTCTACAGCATGCCCTGGGTCTCAAACACATTTAGTTGTCGACGGCAGCCTTGGCCTTGGCCTTTTGCTTCTTCAGCTTCTCCTTGCGCTCGGCAATCTGCTTGTTGAGGGTCTCGTCGTCGCCCTCGGGAAGAACCTTTTGCGCCGCCTCCTTGGCCGCCTTCTTGGCCTTCTTGGAGGGCTTAGTCGCAGCAGTCTCGGTCTCTTCATCATCAGCACCGCCAATCGACTTGCGCTTCTTGCCGACGTTGGCCTTCTCCTTCATCGCCTTGGCCTGCTCGCTGTCGTCGGCGACGATATCCTTGTCCTCGAGCCAGAGCTCGTCCGTCAGCCAGATGGGCAGGGCGGCCGTCTCTTGGCCCTTGACGTAGATGCTCTTGACGTTGGCCCACTTCTCGGGCACCCACTTGGTGATGAGGGCGTCGACGACGGCCGTGACGTTGTCGGCGACCTGCTGGGGCTTGAAACCGGCGTAGCCTATCCGGATGGCGGTGTTGGTGGACGGGGTGAGGCTGACGAGGGCGGCGCCGACGGCCTTTTCGATCTCGGCGGCAATGTCCTGCGGGGTGCCGGCGTTGACGGTGCCGGGGGTTTTGGGAGCCGCCTTTGCGCGCTTGCCATCTGCGCCGCGGGGGGGTTTAGCGGAGATGACGACGGGGACGGGGCGCTTGGCGGTGGTCTTGTAGAAGGTCTTGCCGAGGGCCTTGGGGAGGCGGTTGACGATGCGGTCGTCTGCGAGGAAGACGTCGTGCTCGGCGAAGAGCTTGCGCTGGGCCTCGTACTGCTTGAACTTGGACTTTAGGTGGGCCACGTCGACGACGCGGGTGATGCGCTTGCGCAGGGCCTCGGGGAACTCTTCCGAGGCGACGATGTTCTTGTAGGCGCGCTGGGGGTCGGCGGTGATGAGGCATATCGTGGAGTCCTCGTCCTGGTTGAGGGGGTGCGGGAGGGTGATCTTGCCGGGCTTGAGGCGGGCGCTGTCGGCGATGTGGCGCTTGGTTGTGAGGGTGAGCCAGATGGGCTGGCTGGCGAGGTCCTCGGTCTCGTCGGCGAGGAGGTTCTTCTTGCCGGATTCCTCAGACTTTTCCTTGGCGGCCTTCTTGATGTGTGCCAGGAGAGCCTTGGAGGCCTTCAGGGTCTAAGGGTTTCGCGCATTGGGTTAGCGATCCGGGAAATCTTGAATGGAGTTGCGCTGGTGTCGAACCAAACGAAAGGGAACTAGGAATGGGAAGTTTACCTGCTCGGGGTCAATTGAGGGCGTAACATCTTTCGATGCGACGGCGACGGTCTTTGAGGGAGCCATGACTGCGGGATTGACGGGTAGGTTGAAGGCTCGTCTTGTGGTTTTTTTTTCTGGTTCTGGCAAAACTTCAACACTGCGACTATAGAGAGAGATATGGTGGGGGCGACCAGAAATCTTTGGACCGTCGTCCAGAAATTTTTTGGCCAAAACGGCAGGGATCATGTCCTGTCGGCGGATCCAGGGCGCCGGTGCCGATGGGGTCCGTGCTTCCCGTTCCGGTCTGGACTCACCGAGGTGAAGACTCGGTGAGGGGCCTTGGCTCCAACCGCAACCACCGCGCCGCCGCGACTTGCTGTGTTTCTTGGATGCTGGTTTGAGTGCACAGGTTGGCGGTCTTGTCCCGATGTTGAAGCAAATTTTGGAGTCAATAGCCTCGGATGAAGTTTTTGGTCTTGGATTTGACGGTCAGACTCTGTTCACTGCATAAAATGGGTTGCACATGTCTCGACGCGTTAAGTGGTTGGTTGATATCGCGTCTTCAGATGCAAAGTCAGCCGAGGACAGCCGGATTAGCAGTAGACCAGCGCGTTCAGCAGCACCAACGTCTCAAATATTTGCACCACAGTTGCAACCCATATGAGAATTGACCAGCGCTATCCGTACTTCTTCTCTATTGCCGACGGACATAGAAATCAATTTACATACAAGTCTCAACACACGAGCATTGTCTCAGTCTGAAAACGGGTCCCGGCATCCAAGAGTCTCTGAGAGAGTGTGGACAACGTGGGTAGTGGGCCGGACTGCCATTGTAGGTTGGTGTCTATCCGTACCATGCACATGCCAACGAGTTTTTTCAATCCAGTGGAATCCAATTGGGAACGCCGGGATCATTATTTGCCCAAAAGCCTCAGCGGGTCGTGTGAGAATGAGATGGGAGGGAGCGCGACTTGCTTTAGCGATGCGGGGTGTTCTGCCGGGACGCGATGATTGACGGTTCGGGAAGACGTGGGTTTAGTACTTCAAGCATGGCTTTTCGGGTACAAGTGTCTGGCGCTTCCTGACAGCTCATTTCCACCCGTGCTAAGGGGACGAGTAGTCATATTCGCTTGGGTACGCGTTATAGAGACATGTTGGTTTGCGTAAAGTTAGGCAACGAATTGCAGAGGGTTCGTCAGGTAGGAACATGGTATGTAAATCAAGGGACCATAATGATGAGAGTTGAAGGGGGCACAGGCTTCCCAAGTGTGAAAGACACTTTACGCGCAGCAAACACGGTCTCGCGATGCTCGTTTCAACCCCCTTCGGATTGCATTGCATGGGCAGCCTGGAACAAAGTCGATCTGGGACTGGGACTGGGACTGGGAGTTTGGGACCGGATTCCCGCATCCCAGTCGACGGGGCGGGTCAAGACTCAAAAGTCTCACCAGAGGGGCGGGCTTTTGGCGCATCTATGATGCTTGTGGCAGCAAAGGGAAGGCGGATAATAGCCACAGAGAGAGAAACAACCGTGCTCGGAACCAATGAATCCAGAGGAGGGTTTTAGACGAGAACTGGTCCAGTGCGATATCGCGATTTAGGGTGTGTGAGTGTGAGCCTGTGTGAAGCACAGGGATAGACGAAGGACCGGGGGGAACAGCGCACAGTGATGGAATGCATGGCTTTCTTGGAAACTTGGACAAGGCTCTGAGAGAAACCTCAGCTAGCTATGCAACGTGCTAGTAATGTAAATTGCAAGCCTCTTGATCTTGTCTTGGACACGCCATCCTGAGGGAGATACTTTACTTTTGTCAGTTTACCTTACCTTCCTGGTTAGCATAGATCACTCCGGCCAGGCTTAGGATGCGCCGGGGTTCGAATGGGCCAGACGGTTGGACAGAGTGGACTCTCCTCCACCGGTGGCCTTGGGCGGCTAATGACTTTGTTCTTCAGCGCTCTTCGCCGTTGGATGGGATGGCCCCCGTAATGTTCAAGTACCTTGGCTCATCCGTCAACAGCTGGGAAGAAGGATGAAATGCTGACCATCGGCAATGATGGAAAGCGTGTGTGCGTGTGTGTGGTGTAAGAGAGACGCGCACCAGAAGTGGGCCAGTAGTGGTTTTTTTCCTTCTTGCAGTCTCTTACTCGTCTCTCACCCAAGAAAGCGTGTATGGTGGAGACTTGGAGACTCGGAGACTCGGACGTGATTTCGGGGAGGCTGGATCGGATCTTGATGAGGGGCATAACGGCCATTGTGAGGCCTAACGACGGCAGGTTTTGCACACAAGAGGCTGGAAGAGAAATGGCGGTCTACGGGTAGAGAAGTCATGAACCCAAAGGCTCAGAATGAGTATGAAAGTGAGAGTGAAAGTTGGTGATGGAGACGGAAAAGACTGATGAGCTTGAAGACAGCCAAGGTACTGCGTAGAAAGCAATTAAACTCCAAGGTTAGCGGATGACCGCCGCAACAAGCTCAGACAGCGGCCCGCGTCCAGCGGCCATGGCCTGGAAACACGGTCATCTTTAGCGCATCTACCCGCTGTGGCCATCCATCTTCCCGCGAGGGTACCTATAAGCCCTTCCCCTCTCAGCGGGCACGCGACTCTTGCTCCCCACTCTACGTACCTAAAGTACCTAAAGCACAATGTGAGGTGCCTGCACAGCACAATTCGGCGCGCGCCTTGCAACGCAACACGCGGGAGAGACGTGGACGCGAGAGAGACACGCTTCCCGTTTTTTGGGCAAGGGCCCCCCTCAAAAAGGTCCAGGGCCGCACCACCGGGCCTCCTTCCATCAGACCTGCAACCACTTTGACAGTTTTCACTCTTCCAAAGCCTTCTCTCTCTTTTTTTAACTCACGTGTGGCCAGGCTTGGATCCTATAGACCTCCTTCGAGATATTCAACTTTGTTGAAGACCTTATCCTCTCTACCTCTCTCTCCTTTCCACCGATATATCCCTCGAGACCCTGACTCTTGTACATCTCACCCCTGCCGGAAGAGCGAGAGCCACTTACACGCTTACCCGCACAACGCCAATATCCCACGTCCGATAGTCGAAGCGACACCCGCGCCGAGCATAACGCGACCACCTCCCAACGACGTGCAAGGAACCCAATTTCGAGAAATCACATAGAGGGACTACTGCAAAAGGAACAAACACGCTCTTCTATATCCTCAGACCGGCACTTTCACTCTTCTAGTCTGGGCATGCTGTCGTCGCCATAATGCTCGACTCGTCGCCCCAATCAAAGACCCAGGAGCCTACGCTTCCTCTGGCCGGCACCAAACGTCCTGCCCCCAGTCTTCTCCCGGCATTCGAACCCCTCTCTTCTTCCCCGGGCTTCCCTAGACCCTCCAAACGACAAGCCCGGCCTGGTTCTGTGGGAGCAAACAACGCGTACCTGAAATATCCCACCCCGATCCCGACCTCGAGCACCGGCATCCTATCTTCCTCTCCGCCCCGCGTACACTCAAGACCTGGTGGCCTGTCTCGAGCACTCTCTACCGCCTCCGAGCGCACTCCCCTCGGTGCTGTTAGCTCCATCGAACTGAACGAGAATGGCGAAACTCTCCTCATGGGCCGCTCTAGCAACTCGTCCCACTACCAGCTATCCGCGAATCGCCTCGTCTCCCGCATTCACGTAAAGGCCCGATACGTGCCTGCTCCTTCCGCCCTGGAGCCCAACAAGATTGAAATCATCTGCAACGGCTGGAACGGGTTGAAACTCCACTGCCAAGGCCGCACGTGGGAGCTCCTCAAGGGCGACTCATTCACGTCCGAAACAGAAGGGACCGAAATCATGATTGACGTTCAGGACGCCCGTGTCATGATCCAATGGCCGAAGCGGGACCGTCGCGACCGCCTCGCCAGCCCCGATGATTCTGCTTGGGGTGACTCGCCTCCTCGCTCCGCCGCGCGCGTTGCCGCCGACCTTTTGCAGTCGAGCCCCCTGCGCCGACCCTCGCGCATCGAGTCCCCAGACTCACCCACGGCGCATCTCAGCAGCTCGCAGCGACTTCAAGCTCTGTTGCCCAGGGAAGATGGGGAAGTGCAAATCTACGAGGACTCGAGTGCAGACGAGCCCGAGCTTCCCAAGCTGGTTGACTCGGGCACCATCATTGGTCAGAGCTTCGCTACCGAGGCCACCAACTCCTTCTCGTCCGAACTCAGTGAGCCGGAAGACGAGAATGAGAACGACCCTGACGAGGAGAATGACCCGATTGTTCACTCTTTTGGACCCTTTGGCGCAGATATCTCCAATCGCCTGGCCTCCATCACTACCGCGTCTCCCAAATTCCCTCCTTTCAAGCGGACAGGCCTGCCCACAGTCCGCGACGAGTCTAGACCCTCCAGCCCCATCTCCGCGCCGCCAAAGTCGCCAGAGGAAGCAGAGGAAGGCGAAGTGCTAGAAGACGAGGAGGAAGTCAAGGAAGCGGAGCCCCCCTACGAGAATCCTACCGTCCGCAACCACGTCGTCAACCAGCTGGCCTTTTCGCGTCTGTCGTCCAACCCTCTGTCAACCATCATGAACAACCTGCCGTCAGAAGAGCGCAAGGGGTTGACCAAGGACCAGCTCCGGAGTCTGATCGAGGCTACGTCATGCATTGGTATCATCCAACGCCAGGGCAAGGATGCTGCCGGCAAGCAACTCGAGAGCGAGTACTACTACGTTCCCGAGTTTGATGACGACGACCAGCGCCGCCTTGCCGTGACGGATGGTCTGCGCAAGCCCAGCCTGCGCGCGTGTCGCAAGCAGCACAAGGTAAGATTAACAAAGCAAAGAAGTAAAGATGTTGAAGTTAACATGATGAATTTAGCAATACTACTGGAAGCGACCCCGTACACCTTGAACCTTGTTCCAGCTATCGTTTTTCATCCCATGTTTTTTTCGGGGTTTCTACACCCTTTTTTGCCTTGCTGAGGCTGAACTGATGCCGTACATATACCGAGCATGGCCTCTCACTTCTCTCCTCTTGCATCACACCTTTTTACTGTCTATACCTTGGCTCTTAAAAACCACCATTGGGCAAAACCAACTCGTGTGTACTGGCTGCATAGCGCAAGGCGTTTTTCTGTTTCAACGTATTACTACTGTACGATTCCACTACTACTACTATACCTCCGGAGAAGGGCGGCCCCCTTATTTTTATCCCAAAGATTCCCCCCAAAGGCACGCGAAACAAAATTACCGTACCACGCCCACGCCTACAACCCCGACCCCGATCCCGACCCCGTTAGACGAGATACATGCGGCATCCAGGTTACATTCGATTTGGAAGCGAGGAGTGCGTGTCTCTTGATTTTTGATGGAATTTTTTTCGTCTCGCCTGTTTTCGTCTTTTGAACTTGATTTTTTTGCAAGGGTTATACGAAGAAAGATGGGATATGAATTGGGACTGGCGGTCGGTCGGTCACGGAAATGGGAATGATGATGGGTGGGATGAATGAGATGGGATGGTGTTGGATGGATGGGAGGGGGAGGGTTTAGAAAAGTTGAAGATTCATCTTCAATCGGAGGCCTGGCGAATAAAATCATGTTTGTTCTACTGAGGCTGCCTGCGATCTTGAATGACTTTGCGTCCGATGAGGATTTCCGTTGACAGGACTGATGAAGCAGCTGGCAGTGCTGTGCTATGTAGAGATATACGATGGGTGATTAAAAGGAAGTCCACGCCGTCACGCGCTCATCCCTGCCCGCGCGTCTAGCTCCTGCTGTAAAAACACAACTCATTCCGAATGTCGGCTCAGAATACATGGATCAACCATGCCCCTTTCTCACACAGACCTTGAAAAGACGTATCTCTATTGCTGAGCTCACCGAAGAAGCCATTAAGAAAGGTCCGAATTCTCCATCTCCTTCATCATGCCTGTTGCTTCATCATGCTTGTTGCCTCAAACGGCTCATTTCATGTTAAGTGTAGAGGTAACGACGAAAGGAAGCCGGAATCTGCAGCGTGATGTCGTTCGCTGCTTGCGCGGTGATCCCGGAGCTCATGTGGGGCCGGCGTGGTGAAGTGCACGGGCCTTTTTGACTGATAACGTCCGATAAGCCTAATTTAGTATGGGTCTAGGCCCCCCCCCCCCCCCGCGAACCTACCCCGCAATGACGGCGGTGGTTGCTTTTGTTTCCTGGGGTGTAAGGTGGTTTTCTGGTGGTGTGAATGTCCTCTTCAGATCGCACTGCACTGTACGCCCTGGGACCGCCTAAACGGACTGGGATGTTTTGATCTGGATTCCTTCAGTGGCTCTATGCAGTGAGGCTTGGGTAAAGTGTGATGGTTTTGTGCTGTCAGAGTGTGAATAGTGCATGAGTGTCTCTACCCGTATCGTAGGATTCAGTGCCAGTTTGGACTGAGGTTATACCTACACAGTTGAAGCTTATCCACGTAACGAGGTGTAGGGAGGTGATTATCCTTAGCATCCTCGCCCTTGTGTGCTGATCTGAGAGTAGAATTGATGGGGGGGGGGGGGGGTGATGGTCGACAGTCATATGCTCGAGAACCGTTTTATGACGACAAGGGTGGTGTGTGGTGGTGTCGACAGAGCCGGCCGATTACATACGGTACCACGATCACACAGATGTCAGTGGCGATATGTTCCGGCGGTAGCTCATCCTACCCTTTTTGTCATGCTACTTTACCGCCAACGGAACGTGGGTGAAATGTGAAAGGAGCTATGATGTTGTACGTTCGGCCTCTGCTGGGCTGATCATCGTCTGATACCAGAAGAGTCTCAATCACCACACCTCTTGGAGGCTTGCATCCACGCATCGGTTAGCGTATGCTTGTTGTAAGACCACTGTTTTGACGAGGTTTTCAGACTTTGGAGGGTTCGTCATTACTGCATTAGACAGGCGTAGGTAGCATCAAAACGCGGGAGCATGGCAGGTAGGTAAGAAAAGAAGGTAGGCAGGCTAGTTTTCCAGCATCGTTTCCCGCAGTGAAGATCACCGAGAAGGAGGAGGAGGAGGAGGAGGAGGAGGAGCAGTGAGGCAAAAAAGGTTAAACACATCCGGAAAGAGGTGGTGTGCCATGGTGTGGTGGTGGTGTGCATACAACGCCAAACCTCAAAGGCGCATTGGACCCTGAAAGTGGAAGAAGGAAAGAACGTATGGCAAAGGAGGGAGGTATATGAGAAGTTTAAAAACATCTCCCATTCCTCTTCTTCTCCTTCCCCGCTCGTTTCTCTCGTGATACTCACCTGCTTTCCCCGTTGCTCTGCATCGCCCCCGTCGTTGTGTAATCAAACCTCTACATTCCAACGACCCCGAGTATAAACACTCCTCACGCTCCCCCGCCTACCTACATCACCAAACTAAATAAGACCATACAAAACCTCAAGTCAAATAAACATCACAATCTTCTTACACCATCCGCAAACGAACCCACTCTACCAAGCCTCAAAAGACCTCCCAAACCAAACAACCCTATAACAAACCTACAAAATGGCATCCGAACAAACCGCCCAACCCGACATCTCAAACTACACCACCTCCCCAACCACCTCCTCCTCCTCCCACAACAACAAGCCATCCTCCCCCTCCGCCACTACCCCGCGCGCCATCGTCGAGTCCACGACAAATAGCTGGAAACCTTCCTTCGAGCGCCGCCAGAGCTGGAACCAGGAGGACCAGAAGCGTGCGCTGCAAATGAGCCATATTGAGGATGTGAAGACTGGTCCTGGGTTTACTGAGCGTTCGTAAAAGGGAGGAAACGACAAAAAGTATCGAAATATGTGCAAACACAGACGAAAGTAAGCATTGACGGTATACTGTGGTGATGGACACGGATGGGTGGTGGTGTTGAAGCGGGGGAATGGTCTTCGTGAAGATTGGGTTCATCAGGTTCTATTCAAAAATTGGTAATGGTGGAGGACATGGGTGAAGCCGCCTTCGGACGTTAGGAATGAGTGGCGTTCAAAAAATTGTATTACTAGGTTGTATCATCAAATATGCATCATCCCATATGGCCCCGGCGTCCTCTTTTTGTTTGCGAGGGCTGCTTGTCAAACAGTACGACACCATTGTGTCACCCAAGTTGCATTAATCGCAGTGACCTGCGACAAGAGTGAGAAGTGACTATTGCATCATTGAGCGTGCTACTGATACAATGGAGAGTTTGCCTGGCTCAAGTGACAGCCGAGTCCTACAACCGGAAAAGGTATATAAACCATCCCAACGAAATCCCAAATCAATCCGCAGAACCCTAACTCACGACATCTGCTTACAAACCCTTAGGCCCTTGACCATCTTTGCCTCCAGTCTTGAAGTATTCTCCAACGACACCAATGGCGTAGGAGATCCCGCCGACCCATACGGCGCCAAGGACAACTTTCTTGGCCCTGCTCCTCTTTGGCCGCTTTGGAATCTCGAAATCCTGGCTGTCACAGGATATCGTGTTACGCCTCCTCAACGGGCTGAAGGGAGGTGGGGGTTTCTCTGTTGTCTCTGCTCCGGGGTAATCATAGTTGAGGTAGCCTGTAGGACTGGAAGAGTAAGCGCTTGGTACTACGGGGTCGCTCCCCATCATGTCGATGGGGTTCACCTTTGGCGCCTGGTATGTCGTCGGCTTCTCAATCGCAGGGGCGAAGGAGGCGATAGCCTGCTCCTTGGATGCCGTCTCTGCCTCGCGGACCTTGCGGAATACCAGGACGTCTCCGCTTCCGGAAACAATCTCATATCCCTCTTTTTGCAAAGTGCTAAAATAGGGGAAGAACTTGGTTGGGTTCGACAACCGAAGAATAACCTCCGCTGGCGTCAGCGGTGTTGCGCTGTCGGGGACGACCGACGTGGTCTCGGCTGTGTTGATAGCCTGCATCGTCGGGTCGTATGCAAGAATCTTGTAAATGGTAGGCTCCCGGGGTGCGTCGGTTGTGGTCGAGGACACCACACCCTCGCTCTTGGCAGCGGAAACAGCCTCCTGTGCGGTTGAAGAGGCATTTGCCATGGCATCCGTCACGGTTCCATATGTCCGGACGTAGGAGGGCCAGGTCTGCTTGCCACCGCACTCCTCAGAGTAGCTCACCTCAAGGCCTTGAGGCTCTTTTGAATATTGGTCAATTTGACCTCTCTTTCCCGCGATACGGGTGGTTCTGAAGGAAGACGACCGGTCTAGGGATGGCTCCAACTTGTGCTCCAGGCTCGGAAAACTCTCATCAAAGGACGCAGCCTCAACCTCATCTTGGTCTTTGCTCTCCTCAACCTTTTGACTGTCCGCGGCAGCCGCCACAATGTCGTTCCAGTTCCGCGAGAAGTCTTCGGGAAAGTCCCTGACATAATTGCCAGTAAGGCTTTCCTTCTTGGAGGGAATGTGATCCCACGCCTTGTTCCTAGACTGGCGCACTGCAATACGGGCAGCTTTGCTCGAGATATCCCAGTTCACGGCATATCGGGGAAGATCCGCCTCGAGGATCTGTCTGTTCGTCGTGCTGTACTCTCTCCGGGACTGACCCGAGGACGTTGGAATTTTGGCCCGAACATCACTCGCTCGAAGCAAGTCCAAATCGTCAACCCTCTCTTTCTCTGACGCCTGAGCAAAGGACTTGCGTCTGTTTGCCTTCGCAGCGATCTCCGCATCGAAGTCACCCAAGCCCTTGGAAACAGGGTCGATGACCGCGGCAGGTTGGCCATCGGGCTCATTGTACCGGAAGGATTCATACTGCTTGGCCTCGTCAAAAGCTTTCTGATCCCAGTCATTCTTGGGTCGTTGGCTTTCGGGCTCGTTGTATTGCACAGGCTGATGCTTGGCCGCCTCTTCAGGCTCAACCGCTGCGATGACACCCTCTGGTGGCGGTGCATCGCCGCGTTTGAACTCCTTAGAGTATTTCCCCAGATCCTTGTACTGCTTTGAAGCTTCTTCTGGGTGCATTGGGGGTTTGCCGTGCGGCTCATTCCAGCCGACGGGGTTGTAGGCATCGAGGTCTGCGTATGCCTTGGATGCCTCCTCCGGGTGCATGGGAGCTTGGCCGTGGGGTTCGTTATAAGACATGGGGCCATATTGATCCAGATCAGTGTAAGCTTTGGAGGCTTCCTCGGGATGCATGGGACGCAGACCAGAAGGCTCATTGAAAGAATGCGGGCGATACTTGTGAAGGTCGTCGTAGTCTTTCGATTTTTCCTCGCTGGAACGTGGGCGTAATCCCTCAGGTTCGTTGAAACTGCTCGGTCCATACTTGTGGAGGTCGTCATAAGACTGCGTCTCCTCCAATACGTCCTTTTCGTTATGCATGATTGGGCCGTACTTGTGGAGGTCGTCGTAGGGCTGCTTCTCCTCCACCACATCCTTCTCATTGTGCATGATGGGGCCATACTTGTGCAAATCTGAATATCGCTCATACGCCTCCGGAACTTCAGCATTCTCATTATGCATCACCGGGCGGTACTTGTCCAGGTCCTCGTATGCAGGCTGGGAGAGCTCCTCAGGAGGGCGGTCGTTCAGTGTCGGGTTGGCATACTTGCCAAGGTCCTCGTATTTGGGCGTGGCGTCTACCTCTTCCAGGAAGTCTTTGAGGCCCACCGGTGTGTATTTGCTCAAGTCGTCGTATTTCGGCTCCTCGGAAAGTTGCTTAGCATCAAGCTTCTCATCCATGACCGGCTTGTACTTGTCGAGATCCGCATATTGCGGGGTCTCCACAACTCCACTACTGGACCCAGCTTCGGCCCACGGGGCACTGTCAATGGTGACATTGCCATACTCTTTGAGCTCGTCGGCGGGGGGGACCCCGTCTGGGAAGAAGGGCTCTTGGGTATTTTTGTCCGAAGAGTTATCAAATACCGACTGGGGCGCGTGCGAAGAGTGCATTCTTCTATTTGTGATCGGGTCGATGTCGGGCGAGATGTCGCGACCGGCAGCAGCTGTGTACTTGCTCCTGGTCTGACTACCGAGATAATTGCGGATGTTTTGCAGAGGGGACTGCCACAGATCATATTCCAACGGATTGGCGCGCTTGCCGGAAAAGAGAGCATTGATGGCACTGCGTTCGACGTCCTCAATGTTCTGGCCGGGCCGGGTGCCTGGGGTTTCGCCCGATTCATCCTTTTTCACGTCTTCCCCTCTCACGTATCTGCCACCTGAGCGGGTATGGCCTTGTCTGATCCAGCACTGGGCCAACATCTTCTTCATCACGATTCTCGAGTCTTGAGCACGCGAGTTTGGGTCCCAGGACAGCTTGCGATTGATCGATTCCATGTATTTGTATTTGATGTGGCGCTGACGAAGACGTAGCTGACGCTGGACCTCGGGATCCAAATAGGATGACCACGCACCGAAGCGGAAGCCGCGAGTCTGGCCATAGTGGCTAGCCCTCGCAGGTGTTTGGTTCGAGGATACCAATGATCCCACTGCGGAGGCTCTGCCGGGGTAGAGACCGCCCGCCCGAGGCGAGGAGCGAGAGACGGTGGCGAGCATGATGATGGATTTCTAGCTTTGTGCTTTTACCATGCTCCCGAGACTGATGACATACAGAGGTCAGCGAAATATGATCCTAACAAGCGCGGTCGCGGAATCTGCGAGCGCGTCGTGCTTTCTCGAAGGTAGACAGTGGTCGGCCAAATGCGGCCAGCGAGTACTTGGACTCGGGCGCACGTGAATAAACCGGAACGACTTACACGAGGGAGAAGTGAGGGGGAGAGCTGCTCGTATCACCACCCGCATGTAGGCTGTAAGGCGCGATATTGCTTGAAACTTGGAGTTGAAAAGGTAAGAATTGAAAATCAATCCGCCACCTCGGCGATGTTAAGGAAGAGACGAACAAGGTTGGAAGGAAAGAGGTAGCGAGAGTTCAAAAGGTACTGAACGGATAGAATGGACCGATGGGACAACCTAAGACGGGCCAGAGGGAGCACCTCAGCAAGCAGCAAGCGGCAATCAGCTGCGACTGGCCGGGTTGGGACACTGGTAGGTCGCAATGGGAGAGGTGGGATCCACAGTTACCGCTCCCTAGCGCTGCTCCCGCAGTGAGCCGGGTGGGCAGTGTGGGCACCGTGGGCTGAGAGCCACTGAAGTGCACGCCTAGGTGGAGAGCCTTCAGCAGGGTAGTTTGCGGGGTAAGCCTTTGCGGGCAGTGGCCCTCTTGCCCGAGGAACGCTTGAAACCGCCGAACGACCCCGAATTGGTGCAACTGACCAGTGACGCAGGTGCAGAGTTGCGCCAGTGGCTGGAAAGTGGAGCATCTTGTCTTACTATGGAGCTGTGATAAATGCAGCCCAATCGACGCGAATGGATAAGGATTGGACGATAAGAATTGCAGTGTGCACGGGCGAAGCCAGAAAAGGACTGAATCACGTGTAAGATGCTGACCTAAGACAAGCTGTTTGAGAGTAGAGACACGCTTACCTAAGACAAAAAAAAGCCTGGGCAGGTACCTATGACAGCATCATCAGAGGGAGCTTTGGCGGGGCATCTCGTCCGTTTTCATTCGCCGCAGTTGCACATCGACCGGGGCTCAAATTGTTCGCTCGGCCTGAGTCAACTCGGTGCTGCTAGGTATTTGCGGCGCAACATTCTGTGATTGAAACCCAGACTTTTTCTTTGGATTCGACTTCGTTTGGTCATCATTTTGCATTCGCTACCTTACCTTGGGGGACGATGCAGCCGGAGAAAGCCTTTCTTTTCCTAATAGACTTTGCATACCATCTCCGTTACCAGTCCCTCTCGCTCATCTATCTCCGATTTCTCGAACAAGAAAAATAAGGTGGTGCCCTCCGTGCCCGCCGTATTTCGCATTTCGCATTTGTGCACCTCAGTTGTAATTACCCCGCCAACGTCATATTCGAGCTCTCCAGTTGCCTTCTTGCGCCGCGCGAATTCTTGCATTTGAGCTGCACCGATATCTCGACAACAACACTTCAACACTCCCTTCATTCACACTAGATCATGTCGCGTGCTTTTGGTAAAAGCGGCCGATCATCTGGCGTCGCGAGGGGCTTCGGCAGTCCAGCGCCTGCTGGCTTCGGTGGCTTCTCCTCCGCCGGCGGTAGTGGTCTATCTTACCTCTCCGAGCCTCCTAACTTGGCCTCCATATCCGATGCCAACGTTGTGGTTGCATTTAAGAACGCACTGAAGAAAGATGCCACAACAAAAGCAAAGGCACTCGAGGACCTCCTCGCCTACGTACAGGCTCACCCGTTCGAAGTAGAAGGAGGTGTAGAAGAGTCTATCTTGGAAGCATGGGTACGTTATTCCCGGGATATTATAGAGCTTGGTGATCATGTACTGATTTGTTTAGGTTCAAATATACCCTCGCATCTCGATAGACAACTCTCGCCGCGTCCGCGAACTCTCCCACACCCTACAGTTCGAGCTGATGAAGTCGGCACGGAAGCGCATGGAAAAGCGCGTGCCCAAGATTGTCGGGACCTGGCTCGCTGGCTTATACGACAAGGATAGAGTCGTGTCGAGGGCAGCAAACGATGGCCTGTCTTCCTTCCTCAGCAGCCCAGAAAAGGTTGCGATGTTCTGGAACAAGTGTCAGTCACAGATCTTGACTTATGCGACCGACGCTATACAAGAGACCAAGGACACCCTTAGCGACGAACGATCCACGACAGCCGACGATGCCGAAGCTAAATACCTCCGAGTTATAGGGGCAAGTCTCTCCCTTGTACTTGGTCTCCTGCAAAAGCTCGACGCAACCGATATTCAAAGGGAAGAGGAGGCTTACGATACCTTCTTCGATGAGGAGAAGGTCTGGAAAAGCGTAGTCACGGGCGACAGTTCGGTCAAGAAGACGGCGTGCCAGCTCTTGTGGGCCTGTCTCGATAAGAGATTCGACTCCGTATCCTCACAAATTTCTCGCCTGAAGAAGACATTCGTCGCCGAGGGACTAAAGAGCAGTCAAGTAGGATCGGCTGTCGAGTACGTCAGAGTCCTCACAAAGTTGACGGCTAAGTTCCCCGAGATTTGGACGAGCTCGAGCGAGAAGAAGACCCCAATGACAAGGCTGAACGGATTCTTGGAGAAGGGTTCCCAGAGCAGCTCTGTCAAGTACTGGGAGCACCTTGAACACCTGATCAAGGCCATTCCGACGGAACTCTTCACAGTCGATGCTTCAGCTGACGCGCTCAAGTCAGTGAGGACAGGAATTACAAGCAGAGAGGAACCGCGGATGAACGCCACCGCGGCGTGGACCTGCTATGCCAGAACTACCAAGCATCTGTTGAAAACCTTTCCTTCTGACAGTGAGAGGGCAACACTTGTTCAAGAACACCTGTTCCCTCTGATTGAGCACTTCCTCCTACCCACACCCGAAAACTCGTCATGGGAGATTGCTGGAAACGGACGACTTCCTGTGCTAGGAGAAGTATACGAGGTCTCTGTCGGCTCATCATCCGAGGAATTCAAGGCAACATCTGACAAGCTGGGGCTGCTCTCGTCGGCGTTCTGTGGCAGAATATCCAACTCACTTCCAGAGGTCTCAAAGGACTATGAAAAGTCCCAAGAGGCTATTGCTTCCGAGGGTACCCGCTGGTTCACCCTCGTTGGCCAAGTTCAAAAGGCAAACCCCAAAGACAGTCTCTTTGTCGAGCCTTCAAGGGTCATCATCAAATGCAGTGTGGACCTCCTGGCAACAAGGAATCTTAAGCCATATGGAGCAGCTGCAGTGCTCTACAGCGTGAGTAAGAACGCTCCGCACGTGTGGAGAGATGCGGAAGCTGCTCAAGCACTGGAGCAATTCCTGTCGACCCAAGGCCGAGATCGCATGGATGTCTTGATGCTTTCACGGTCTGGTACCGATCTGCTGAACTGCGCCAATGCCCTGGGCACCCTCGATGGACAAGAAGCAATATACGCCAATATCTGGAATACCTGGATCGAGGCTTTGTTGAGCCTGTCCGATGACTCGCAGGCCATTAGGGGCATCGAGCGTCTCATTGCGAACAAAAAAGCGTCAGATCTCTCTCAATCGCACGAGCAGCTCCAGAAGTTCATCGAATCCAAGTGCTCCAGCACAGTCCGCGGAGATCTGGATGCCTGGAGCCTGTTCGAGGCAGCGTTTAGCAACAATGCTATCGCCGACTCAACCGCCAAACAATTGGTAGATAACAGCGTATCGGCCTTGTCACAAAACAAGCAGCACTCTGTTCAGGCCCTTCGCTCCTTGGAAATCATTGCGAATAATAAGCCTGGGCTCTTGTCTCAGGACGAGTCAACACACATGGCGGTCGTGACTGAGCTGCTGGGACTTGCCGAACTAAACGACAGGGCAATTTCTCCCCGTGCTGCCTCGCTGAGAGCGCTACTGGAACAGCCCGCGGATGGCGTATCGCCAGTCGTCACCATTATCCAGAGGAATCTCGAAGATGCTGGGCCACAGTCACTTGGCGTCGATACACTGGTTCAACAGGCCATCCAGGCGTCCCAAGCTGGGTCTATCGCCGTCGAGGACTTGTTCCCAAGCACGAACATCTGGATGCAGCAGCTCTCAAAGTTCTTCCAGGCCAAGCTCAATCCGTCATTGTCGATTACTAGCGGTCTGGCGGGCGCTCATTTCCTCGTTCAACCTACCGAGTCCGACCAACGCCTTCGTGTGCGCAGGGACCGAGATGGTCTCTCTATCCCGGCTAGAATGGCATCCTACACCTCCAAGCTCTTGTCATCGGATATTTCGGTCTCCAGTCTGCCTGACAGCTTCCAGGTCGAGCTGCTCTACCTCCTTTGTGTCGCGGTTCAGATGGTATCGGACCAGATTACACTCATGGACGAGCACAAGCTGTTCCTGAACCTCGATATGGGAGACGCGCTTGCCTCTGCTGAGTCGTTCGTCTCTTCCACCCGCCTGACCATCAATGCCATTGTCGACGAAGCCAAGGGATGGAGGGACGGCTCGGAGGCTGGCTCGACAAAGTTAGTCAACGGTCTCATCGCCATCATGACGCAGGAGACCAAGGAGCTCACCCCGCTTGGAGTCTACAGTTCCAGAGCGCTAAGCGACCTCTTCCAGAACCTCGCCGAGAAGCACGGTTTCCCTGTTGCTGGAGACGAGAAGATCAACCAGCTGGCCACACTCAAGGCCACGCCACCAACAATTCTGGCGGCGACGGCTGTGCTCGCCGGCTTCGGCGAGAGCCTGGAATCATCAAAAGCCATTAACAACTTGTGCAACCGTCTTGTTAGCGACATTGCGGGCGCCAGTGTTGAGCCTGAAAAAGCCGAAAAGACGCTGCTTATTTTGGTCCTCCTCAACGCATGCCTGCAAGTGTACGAAGTTGGCGGGGTTCCCGTGGCTAACAACCGTATCGTCTTTGCCGTTCGCCAAATCACGTCTTGGATGGACGATATCCCCAACCTCACCCCCGCGCTGTCAGCCGAGATCTGCCGATCCCTACAAAGGTTGCTCCCATGCATGAAGGACGTATACGGCTCGTACTGGGACAAGACGATTGAATTCTCCACCGCGTTATGGGCAAGGGCCTCCGACGACCGTCTCGACGACTCGCTGCCGTACATCCACGCATCACTGAAGCTCATGACCGCCTTGGAGACGCTATCGGAGCCAAACGACGACCTCGTGGACGCCATCAAGGAGTTTGCCGAGACGAAATCTCTCTCCCTTATTGAGCTCCTCAAGCTCGACCGCGAAAAGAACACACAACCCCTTGAGATCGTCGACGCCATCATCTGCAGACAAGTCAACAAGATCCCACTGAAGCACGTCACCGACCTCTCGGATCTTTACGGCCTCATCGCTGCGGACTCCCGCTCGATTCAGACGGCGGCCTTCAACCTCCTCCACTACGCCCTCCCCGCGCGCCAGGAGGAACTCTCCGTCAACGTCCTCCTCGACAAGATCGACGCTCGCCTGCCCGACGAGCTCCTCTCCCTCCTCCTCGACGCACCCACGCTGGATCGCTACCCGGACGAGATCCTCGCGCAGTTCCCCCTCGCCATCCGCTCCTACCTGCTCTCATGGCACCTCATCTTCGACGCCTTCAGCACCGCCTCCCTCAAGGTCCGCCAGGACTACACGGAGCACCTCAAGACGGAGAACTACATCGCCCCGCTCATGGACTTCACGTTCGACGTGCTGGGCCACTCGGCCGCGCACCCGCTCAACCTCGAGCGCGAGGGCCTGACGACGCAGCACCTCACCTCCTACAGCGTCTCCCTCGCCGATGCCGAGCCCGACGAGCGGAACCTCCACTGGCTGCTCGTGCACCTCTACTACCTCACTCTCAAATACACCCCCGGTCTCTTCAAGACATGGTACCTCGACTGCCGCTCCAAGCAGACGCGCATCGCCGTCGAGGGCTGGATGACGCGCTACTTCTCCCCCATCATCGTCTCGGACGCGCTCGACGAGGTGGCCGCCTGGGCCGCCGCGCAGGACCCGCCCGCCGACGACGACGAAAAGGAGCTCGTCGTCAAGGTCAGCAAGGCATCTAGAGAAATCACGGCGGGCGTCGAGATCGACGAGAGCATGGCCTCCATCGCCGTCAAGGTCCCCGCGAGCTACCCCATCGAAGGCGTCTCCGTCGTCGGCATTAACCGTGTCGCGGTCAACGAGCGCAAGTGGCAGAGCTGGCTTCTCACGACGCAGGGCGTGATTACCTTCTCCAACGGGAGCATCATCGACGGTCTCTCCGCCTTCCGCCGCAACATTGTCGGCGCGCTGAAGGGCCAGTCCGAGTGCGCCATCTGCTACTCCATCATCTCCACTGACAAGCGCATGCCCGACAAGCGGTGCTCGACGTGCAAGAACCTCTTCCATCGCACCTGTTTGTACAAGTGGTTCCAGAGCAGCAACCAGAACACGTGCCCGCTGTGCCGTAACCCCATTGATTACCTAGGCCATGACTCCAGGGCGAAGAGAGGGCAGTCCGATTATGTGGTGTAAGGTAACTAGGTCTCTTATGGGATGATGCGGTTGAGGTAACCATGTTGAATTACATGGGGAAAAAGGAAAAGAAGAAACGTGAGATGAGAAAGATGAAAGTGTGGTTTCGTGTAAAAAGTAACATTCTAGAGAGTGTGGAACACAGCATGAGAAATGCCAAATGGTTGGCAGGAGATAGATGACAAAGAGCCGAAATGTTCAAATTGTAAAACTTCTACCAACCCGTGAACCCGCGTAACACCATGAAACTAACTAGACACTCCTCCACGCACTCAAATCAGCCTATCGAGACCCTCACGAACAAGCTTGAGAATCTCCTCGGCATCCCGGACACGTTGGGTGCGCCGCTCCTCGTTACGCACAGGGCCCGCGTTTTCTGGTTTGAATATCAATTCCTCCTCCTTGCCATCCAAGCTGGTGTCGATAGGGGCAAGACTGGGCTCGTCATCAGACTCGTCGTCGACATCGCCCATGTACGTATCAAATTCGACTACGCTTGGGGTAGAGCAGACGTCCATAGCCATGTTGGCCTCGGTGGTTTCGGGAACGTCCTCGAGAGTCCTCGCCGAGACGATCTTCCGGAGCCGATTGGGCCACGCGGCCTGATAGTGACGCCCGAAGGATCCCATGCGCAGCCGCGTCCCCCTTTTGGTGACGCGAGTAGGCCGTTGCCGGGTGAGTGATGCCCTGTTGGCGATGCCACCCGCCTGCCTCGCTGCTATCTGTGCCAGACGGATCTCGGTTTTCCTACAAACCAAGCAAATGGATCCATTATACGTAGAGCGATGGAAGCCGCATTCAGAACATTCTTTAAGACAACCGGCTTCCGCACAATCCTTGTCGCTTCTGTGCTTTTTCGCGCCACAGTGGTGGAGTTTTTTGCCTCCTGCTAATCTTCTAGGCATATCTGAGATGGCTCTGCCCTTATTTTTTGAGCCCTCTTGGCGTCTTGATCCTTCGGGTTGGTCCCCGAGAACCGACGTGTCCGGTGCGTTCTGAGTGCCAATGTTCGGGCCGTTACGGTTCTTCACTTTCTTCGGGCCAGAGGGCGCGCGATTCTTTGATCTTTTTTCGCCAGGGGGGGCCATTGCTCGGCAGCTTTCTTCAACTTCTGAAGCGCGGGTGAGGCTAGAAGTGGCTGAGCTAACGTGGGATTGTGAGATGGGCAACGTTGAAATTGTCGCGCTTCGGTGACTGGGACGCGCTGGACCGCAGACATTAATACCTGGTGAGAGAGTCCGAGGCCTTTGTTCTTCGATACTGAGATTCCGTCGCAGCGTTCTGAAGGGCTTCGAGGCTCATAGGACTCAATGAAGGTCAAGTACACAAAGAAACTGCTTTGAATACCTGCAGCACAATGTTTCAATCATCCAAAGGCTAAAGGTGGCCCATCTTCAAATACACCTTCTCTTTATTACGTTGCCCTCGAGGGTCGGGTAACTTCCTATGCTTGACTTTGCTCAGTCTCTACCATGAACTTGTGCTGCAAAGCCTATTGCATAGTCAGTAAAGCAGTTGCTTGTGGTGAAAGAGGCCTCCGCAACTCACTTGCTCCGCCGTAGCCCTCTTGGAGTCAAAGCGAACCAAGCTCGATATTAGGTCTCGCATATGGGGATCAACCTCGGGAAGAATCTCTGTCCACGGCTGGCCGTCAAACATGCGGTACATCTCAAAAGGCGGCGTCTTGAAGCTTGTAGCCTCCGGCCAAGCCTCGCGTGTCGGCGTGCCCAAAGTTTTGAAGATGCTTAGAATCAAACCCAGCTGGTTGCCATCCTCATGAGCCGGCCTGGAGTCGAACAAGGGCTTTGGGGGGCTGCGACAGCACTCGGCTAGCATGGCCCCAGCCGCCCACATATCGACAGAAGGACCGTAGGCTTTATCGCCAAAGAGCGCTTCAGGCGCACGGTAGGGGCCGGTTCCGATATCCAGAATCTTGGATTTGGCCGGCTCTGAGACAATCGACATGGCTGGGTGCCAGGCCGTTCCAAAATCAGAAAGATATGCTGGTCCATCCGGGCCGTCGAGCAAGATGGCCTCGGGCTTGATGTCTCGGTGTATGATGCCTTGGCCGTGGATATCTACGAGTGCAGTAAAGATGTCCTTGAAGAGACGTCTAACCTGGGGTAGCGGGATAGTTCCTTTGTCAATGACATCGGCAAGTGTCATGGGCTTGTAAGGAAACACTAGGACAAATCTTTGTTCTTGGTCCCTGAATGTTTCCAAAAGTGGAATGCATGGTCGTTTCAAGGTCGCCAGAATCTTGGCCTCGCGTTGCGGATTGTGAGGCTCAATGTTGTGTGTCTCCACAATGACCTTGAGCGCTCGATCTTTGCATCGGTAGACTTCTGACGTTAAGCCACTTGCAAAAGAAGTGCAGTTTTCGTAAGAACCGATGGTGACGCCAGCATCTTCGAGTTGGTCATCAGCAGGTGCTGGGGCTTCTGCGCGAGACAAATTGGCTGAGCTGACTAGCTGGCAGATTTCGTCATATTGAGCCTGACCTTGACATGTAAGCGTTGAACTCGGGCAAAAGCTAAGAGATAGGGAGTCAACCTCACCCTGGACGACGAGTCTTTATAAGCCTGGTTTTCTACAGAAAATGCTTCCGATTGTGACGTGTCTTTGGCATCGGGACTAGCTGTTTCCAAGACGGACTTTCTACACAGAAATTGGTGTAAGTATGGCATGAATGCAAATTGAAGATTTTATGACTTACATCCTCTGAATGTTTTCATATCGATCTGACGCCGATAATTGCGTCCTCCAGTCGCTGTCTGCCATGAGAACCGGGCGACTGTCGAGTACGGAAGTGGAAGTCGGCGTGAGGTGGACGAGCAAGGATGACGAGACTTTGGCGGTGGCGCACTGGCGTTGCTTTCAATTGACCATTCTTAGTGAGCACCAGACAGGAAGGGATGAGGCGTCGTTGCACCTTTCGTTGATGATCCCTGTGATGCACCTAAGCCACGAAGAGAGAAGAGCAGACTTGAGTACGTACCGTGTGAGAAAAGTCGGGGACGGTGGCAAGACTGTCCGGGCCGGACCCGCTGGTGTGGACCTCGGCTGGAAACTGTGTAGGCACAGTGCGGACTTGCCGTCTCCTTTTCGAGGGGAAAGAAGGAAAGGGAAGAGAAGTAAGCTTACATAATGCCCGGTTGGGCATCTCAATTCCGGGTACCTGACGAAGGGCGTTCCATGGCGTCAAAATATGTCTTTAATTACTTCTTCGACTCAATCTTAGCTTCTCTCTTAGCCTCACGAGGCGTAAGGATTATCACGGTCTTTTACTGCGCTAATGCGCACCACTCTTGGGTCTCACTTCGTGCAGTCCTGGAGGGCTGCCGGCAAGTCGTGTCAGGAAGGTCCTTTTTTTTTTCTCCCTCTTCAGTACTTACCCATTGTGGGCGGTGTTCTGCCTTTAAGATCGAGATCCTTGCGATTGGATTAAGGGCCAAAATAAAACTTCATGCGCAGCTGACAACCTGCAAGGATGGCGCGGCTCAGTCATGGTTTTTTCTTTCTTTCCCCTTTACCCTCTTGCGCCGGCGTGGTCTCCGTGAGGTGGGTTGAAATTGAATTTCGATCAGAGACTTTACGCGGGGGCGCGACACGTCAGGGCACTTCCCGTCATCTCATACAGGCACCGTTCCTTTGAACCTTGCCCAAGCGGATGCGGGATGCTAAACAGGATCAACGTGACTAAGGCAAAGTGAAGGCAGGGAAGCTGCTTAAGGTTGACGGAATGTGGTCTGGGTTATGCAGCCCGCCGCCGCCGTTGTTTCCAGCATCGGGGGGACGAGCGGTGCCTCTGTACTTTTTTTTTCTTTTTTCATGATCATGTATGTCTTGCCTGCTGTTCTCCTTGTCAGCTTCAGATGAGGACGTGTTGAAGCTGGCTTCTGCTGGCAGGCTCATTTGGGTTCTTCCTCGGTTGCCAGCTTGAGCTGAGGAGAGTGCTAACTTGGTCTGTAAGGTGCGTGACGTATCTGCAAAAGTCCCCTCCAAGCTAGCCTGTTTCGATGACAGGAGCCCTGTCAGACCCAAAGCACAGAGAGATGAGGGTGGTTGGTCAGTGTGGAACTGTAGGAGTTGAGATGTATGTTGTCTCTTTATGGGTGAGCTGTGCAAAAGAGACTGATTGTCTCTGACCAGCTCATTCTCACTGAGAACTCATACCGGGATGTCTGGACAAAAGCAACGTAAAAAGGAGAAGCGAATTATTGTTGCCAGCCCAATACCTAAGTATGAGTAGGATAGGCATCTCAGAATCTTGTGGATGAGTCCTTGTCCGCAGCTCCCGGGCCAACTGTCCCATCCGAATCCAATAAATTCAAATCTGGCGCCAGTGGAACATGCGCTGAACCTTTGGTCACGACGAGGCAGCACTCGGGCCAATTGGCGACGCATTCGAGAAGAAAAAAAGGTACGTGAGACATCTCAAGGATGAGGTTGGATGACATTGACACCCAGGTGCCAGCGGGAGACCAAGGAGGCGTCGAGGCCACGCAGCAGCATTGAACAAGCTAAAGCAAGAAGGCAGCATTAGACGGGACTTACCACGGTGCGTTTGTATGCAGTTGACGCGTCTCGACGTTGATCGAGGCAAGCCGTAAACCTCGACCTCAGATGCTGATATTGCTGTACATGCAAGTATTCCAGGTTCATACCAACGTACATGGTAATATGAATCGGGTTGTCCAAGTCCGACCTGTGAATGTACATACCAAAGAAAATCCCAAGTCCAGCCCAGCCCATGCCCCCCCCCCCCGGTCCGGCCCTCTCCACACTTCATCATCAGCCCAAGACTAAATGAAAGAAGAGGAAAGCAAGTAGCTTTTAGCTGTACTGAGTGTGTAAAGTGACTTCCAATGTGGATAGGTAACAGGAGTTCTTCCCGGCTTTCCAGTCCAAAGGGCCCACTCTCCCACACATCACTGGCGACTGCAGTCTGCACCTGCTGCACCTGGTGACTGCCTGACCGGGCTTCGTCTTGTTCGGCAGCGGCAGCAGCAGCAGCAGCAGCAGCAGCAGCGGCGCCATTCCATTCCTTCCTGGCCTGCCTTATTGTTCCATCCATCCACCATCCAACTGGACCATTCCAACCATCCACTCAATTCCCGCCGCCGCCGTCTCGCAGGACAACCCACCTTCCTCACACCTCACGACTTTCCCACGATGCGAATGTTCCTCACTTCGCCCACACCTTTTCCCGCATCATAGACAGCATCGCTATGCGCGCCTTTCCTCTCGTTGCTTGCATTCATCGTACATGACTTTGCGCGCGCCGCACTAATTAGACACAATGGATGATCTCGCGAGGGCCGAGTACCCGGCCATGCTGGTAATGTTCCCCCCCCTCCTCCCCCATTCATTCCCGTCAATCCGTCACTATTTCCCCCAGCGGTTGGAAAGGCCCTCCTACCGGGCAGAAGCCGAGGTCGGGCTGGCCTTCCACGATCCACCTCAGTCATGGCAGGAGCGCATTGTTTGCGACTTGTTTTGCTGACTGTTATTTTCCTTTGTTTAGGAGCACCTCCAGCCCATGCAGGCCGTGAACGTCCTTACCGATCGTGTGAAGAGAATAAACAAGATCAATACCGAGATCGCAGACTGGTTGCAGGTAAGGCACCACCCACAATGACTACAATGCGACAGCACAGGACCATCTCATGCTGAACAATACCTCTCCTCAGGAACGCCGCCGAGTCGAAGATCAATACGTCCAGAGCCTCAAAAAATTGCTCGCCTTCAAGGTCCCCAACAGCTCGTCTGAGCTCGGGTAGGTTGCCCAACCATTGCATTTGACTCTCAGGAGCAGGACCGTATACTGATAAACTATGTAGCGTCTTTTCCGGCCCATGGGACAAAATCCTCCAATCCGTCGACTCAACTGCCCACTCCCACCACGTTTTCGCGAGCCAACTCGAAAAAGATGTCGAGGGTCCCCTGCGCAACTTCCAGTCCCGCAAGGAAATGCAGAACATGCAGACCATCACCGCCAACTTGACTTCCATGGCCCGAGACCTCGAGGATGCTCAGAAAAAGACCGAGGCTTTGGCTCGGAAAGGCCCGAAGACGAACGCCCAGAAGATGGCAGATGCCACGGCGAGACTGGAGTCTACCACCCAGCAGTGGGATTCGCAGGCTCCCTTCATCTTCGAGACCCTCCAAGCCCTTGACGAGCAACGCGTTAACCAGCTGCGCGACCTGCTGACGCAATACGAGACCCACGAAAGTGACCAGGCGCAACGAAACCAGAGCCGCGCTGCCGACACCTTGGCTTCCATGCTGGAGATCAGCACTGAACAGGAAATCGCAAGCTTCAAGGAAAGGATTCTGTCTGGCAGACCGAGGTTGGAGAAGAGGGCCACGGCGTCTAGACAATCATCCAATGCCCCCACGAGCCAGACTCTGGCACCACCTCCACCGCCGCCCAGCAGTCTCGGCCACCACGACGATGATGCAAGCGAACACTCCGGTCTAGGGGAAGGAAAGAGTGGTATGTTGCCCTATATGATGTTGTCCAGAGATTGGGAGACTAACATTGAGCGCAGAATCGAAGCTGCGAAGCCGTATCGGCACGATGCTCGGTCGCCGACGACAGAGCGTCCACGGCGGGTTCGGTCAGATTTCTCCCGGCAAGGGCGGTGTTCCTTCGTTCGGCCGAGGCCTCAGCAGCAGTCATAGCAGCACTCACGTTCGCCCCGGGCTTTCTCCACGAGCATCATCGAACAACCTGAACGAGACGAACAACCGCCTTTCCGCTCTTCCCGAAACACCCGACTCTCCCAGACCACCTCAATCCTCCGGGACAGACGGACCGCTCCATGAAGGCACCAACGGCTTCAGCAACTTCCCATCGGATAGTGCTCGGTTGGGTTCTTCTGCTGGTCCCGTCAACGGAAACCACGACACCGATGCTTTGGATGTTGCGCCTCCACCTGGTCCTCCCCCGTCACAGGGCAAAGACTCTCAAGCTAAGGACGACGAAGGCTTCACGATCCGGCCACCCGATAACGATCCAATTTCTCAAGCTCAGCGCGAGGCTGCCGAGGAGAACGAGCAGATGTTCAAGCTGAACATTGCGAGCTCGCCCATCGCCGAGGAGGATGCCGATGCGAAGCAAGCTGCCATGTCGAATGTCGCAAACACGTTGACCCAGATGGCTGCCCCGTCACGCAAGCTAGGAACTGTTCGAGGACGGAGAGACGTGAGAAATACCATCTACGTCCCGCCCCCTAGCCTGCCCGAACCCGAGCTCACCAACGAAAACCCATTCCCGACGTCGCCATCATTGCCGAGCCAGTCATCCAAGCCAACGACCGTTGCTGCCCTCACGTCCGAGGCAAGCATCGCCGCAACGTCAGACACGCAGTCGATCCGCTCAGCAAACTCCCTCGTGAGCCTCGCGCACCTGAAGCATCCCGAAATGCACCAGCCTGGACTGAATGCCTCCGTTATTGAAACGGTATCGGCAACCTTTGAAGATGGAACCGTCAAAAGCGCCAAGGTTCACGGTGAAATCGCTTTCGCCTATCACACAACTGGTGATGCCCCGCAAGGTCAGTCAAGCTTCCATTTTGCCAACATGAAAGATGCTAACTTTCAACAGAACATGAGACGATCAGGATCAACAATTTCCCCAGCCTTGAAGTTATTGGACCGAACCGCATCTTTGTTCAGAACAGCCCCGGAAAGTCTGACGAATTCAATCTGGACGTGTCGCATCTCAACAAAACATCTACGGCGTTTACGTATAGAGTACACGCTGGGGATGCCGACGGCTCCAGTCTGGCAGCGCAAGTTCCCCTGCTGATCCGCCCGGCTTGGAAGCCGCAGGGTGACAAGCTCGGACTTCTCTTGCAGTACTCCCTGAACCCCGCAAGCAATCTCACAGCTCCTGTTACACTGCAGAACGTCGTATTTGTCGCCACATACGAGGGTGCCAAGGCCTCGGGCGCCCAGACAAAGCCAACAGGAACGCATTTGAAGGACAAGCACCTGGTATACTGGCGCTTGGGCGACTTGACACTCACAAACGAGACACAGAAGATTGTGTGCCGTATTGTGGGGGCCGAAAACGCGGAACCCAAGCCTGGCCATATTGAAGCCCGCTGGGAGCTCACCCCGGAGACACTGGGTAGCGGCATCACCATTTCTCGACTGGAAGAAACCAAGGGCAAGGGCAAGGATGAAGATGCCGATCCCTTTGCCGACGACAACCCGACCTCGCCAGCGCTGCCAGCTGATCAGCAGTGGGTGGACGTGAATTTGGTGAAGAAGATCACCAGCGGCAAGTACGAGGCCAAGTAATCTTTGCAGCCATGGACTTTTTTAATGAGGAATATGTGGTGCGAGGTGTACATACCCGTTCAAAGTGAGAGACTTTGTATTGCCAT